TATTCCAGCTATATGACGGCTGTCTGTAAATAATCATGTCTGGACCAGACAATCCAGTGATTGACATCATGAGCATCGATACACGCAATAGGGATCGATGACATGCATCAACGAGCCTGACCACCCGATCCCGTTAGTAGCCTTTTACGACAAGCATAGTCGCCTTTTACGGCAAGCATGGGTTGCTGAAGACCTATTCTACCCCGGAATCTTCACGGGGAAGCTCTCTGGGATTACGATTGGAAAGAAGTGACGTATTTTCGCCTTGCGCAGTTGCATTACTCCAGGATAGAAGTGACGACCACGTCTATTGAAAATCCAACCAAAACACTGAATCACATCGACGGTCATTTATTGTTACACCATACACAATACATACACAATTGTTTTTCAGCAACCCATGCGTGCCGTAAAAGGCGACTATGCTTGTAAGAGGCGACTAACTGGATCGGGTAGTCAAGCTCGGTGCATGTCATCGTAACCCAATTCCGTGGGTCGATGCTCATGACATCAATCACTGGATTGTCTGGTCCAGACTCGAATATTTACAGGGGGTGGTCATGCAGCTGTAATATTGCTGAGTGCGGCGTTCAACAAACAAGCAACTTGCTGCAGACCGACTTGGGGAGAAACCCTCAACGAATGCAACGAAACAATTCAGGTTTTACAGTTATGTAATATTGAATTAAAACTGAATTAAAAAATCAAAGAAAAATGGGGAAAAGAAATGTATACATTTAATGTAATATTATAATGGCTCTTCAAAGAATCATTATGACGACGTCACGCTATTGTTCCAGTTGATTCTGACCCAGGAACATGACCCATTTCACATCAACCGGAAGCAGAATCTGAAACATTAAAATATGTTACAATGTTTATTGTTAAATTCATAAAAGTCTACATACAATCTTAAAATAAATAGAACAAGGGTGACAGCATGTCCTTTTTGCAACAGAATGATTTAAAACAGTATGTTTCCCAAGCATACAAATCTCCCTATCAAGGGGAGATAATCCATGATGCAGCTACATATCGCTTGGAGAATTTCAAAACACCATACTGAATCGAACAGTATAAAAGAGTACATTGACATTGAGTGACTTGGGTTGGTACAAACAAATCTAGACACTGGGTCACTCGGAGCCCCTATTAACTTGTAAGCATGTGAAGTAATATTTTGTCCGACCAGTCCTTGTTTTAGCCCCTTAATGCCAAGCGCCAGGCAGGGTAACAACAAGTTCCATCTTTTAACGTCTTTTGTTATGACGCGGGCGGGGGATCGAATGCCCACCTCAACTCTCCGGGCAGACGGTCTTCCACAAGACCACGGCGGGGGTCGTATTCTCCATTTGAAACATGCCAATTATTTACAAAATACCTTACACAATTTGTCAGTAGGAGGCAGAAATATTGTATTTTTATGCAATATATTATATACTGAAAAGCTTTATAGCACACTGTTTTAAGCCGATAGGTTGTTTCTAGTAAAGATGGTTGGAGGCATGTTAAATTAAATTTATCACCCAGGACAAAATCAGATCACCAATGTCACGCCAAAATTTCAAAAATCTTTTCAGAAGACCCATCATTTATTTCAGGTTTGCTCTGCTCATACTCTAAACAATTAGTAAATCTTTGATAATAGTCTATGTTCAAAATTGTTTGAATACTTAACTGACAAATTTCTACACAGCGTCATTCTCTCCGAAGTCATTTGTTGAACTATCTTTCCTGAGGCTGTGTATTAGGGTCAGTCTCTCCCGTCGTGACTGAACTCGCCACACGCCAAGCATGATCCCCGTTTCCTGCCTCTGCCACTGGCAAGCTGGCTTCTGATTGGCCGAATGTGTTGAGCTGCAGGAGCAGCACGGGCCCAGTGACTGTCGTTGAGCGCCCTGGACTTGGACGAGCACGCTTTTGACGACATTTCCCCGAGAGCTTTGTTTTCAGCAGCAGTAGCACGTTGATTATCGTCGGAATTATCAACCAAATCATTTGAACATCATTTTGGACCGATTCCTACCCCTTTCCGTGTGATAAAAAGTGAAAAACATGCTATTCCGGCGATAAGGAACATTACTTACTCTAATGACAAAAATTACAAAGTGGGTTTTCAAGAAATATCCATTTTGCTAGTGATAAACATCGAGTTGTGACCAATTGGTTACAATCTGGGTGAGAGCACATGCCCTTGTGTCGTTGCTAAATCATTTCTAGATCAAACAATATCTAAGAGCACGACTTACACGTAATAATGTCCATCGTTTTAGGAGAGATTTCTTCTGTACAAATTTGATTGAAGAGCAAATTTAACTACATTTCTGTAAATTAATGAATCAAAACAAATGAAAAAAAATCTGCTTTGTTAAAAGATGTAATGCAAACATACATACATAATAATGCCATGTCATTTCTTGAAAAGACGAAATAGAGAATCAAAGACGACTTCGTGACACAGCTGTCTGGTAACATGACAAAAAGCACTGCACTTAGATCCCAGTCTTTTCATTTTGTTTTGTTTTGTTTGCGATAGATGGATAACGTTCTGGTGCAGTTTAGATATTTGTGAATAGCCCATATAATCAAAATCAGTTGAATACTCAACTTATAAATGTCAACATATCCTGGTTCATCCCATAGCCATTTGTTGAACTGACTTTTCCACACGAAGTGAAGTTGCGATATCCGCTCCTGTGGTGACTGATCCCTGTTCGCATTCGTCACCACTCGCCCCTTTCCGTAACCAGCTATTCGGCTTGTCCCGGAATAACACGAGTTGGTCATGAATGCCCTGTTCGTTGCCTCTACCATGAATAAGCTGGCTTCTGATTGGCGGAATGTGTTGAGCAACGGGTGCAGCACGGACCCAGTCACTGTCGATGAGTGCCCCGGCCTCGTTGTGAGTTTGGACTTTGACAAGGACGCTTTTGACGAAGTTTCCTTAGAGCTTTGTTTTCAGCCGTTGTAAGCAGGTTCTAACTTATTGTTGTGTTTATTATCTTTTTTTGGTTTGTTTTTTTAACGCCGCAATCAGCAATATTTTATTTCCAAATGTATATATCTATACACGATAAAAATTAAGAAAACTAAGAGCTCACAGTTATCTTATAGGTTTTTAAAAACATTTAAATGTATTTCCTCTGATTTCATCAACAAGTAAGAATTGTAAATGTGATGAGATTTTGGTTGTTTTTGCTTGAAATAAATAAAAAGAATAAGCCCCAATACACGTACACATTTGTAATTAAACGATCAAAATTATTGTTTCCAATTGTGAAGCTATCTTCGGAATAAATTTAGATATTTCAACAACAAATAAGTTATAATGTTTCTTGAGTGAAAAAAGGTATTAATATAACCATAAACATCACTTTCGATCTGTCATCCGATATGAGTATAATAAAGGTATCTAACAATAACAAGGATCAGACAAAACAGAATATGTGCAGGGGAAGCACTACGATTGTCTATCTTGAATCTTATGTGGTTATTTAATGTTAATAAAGCATCAATTATGCATTTATTTTACAGAATGGCTTGCGGAAAAGTACGATTTGTGAATTGTCTTAAGATATCAATACTGTAAAAGCTTGGTGGTGACAAAAGTTGTCTTTCATGAATGTAGGTTCGAATACTAACTTGTTAAAACTACGTTGTATATATACTTGGTATATCATTACCTGATTTAAATCATATATACAGGAAAAAAAATAATTCTTGTTTTTATCTATCATTTGTTCTTATAGTCTTTACTTTTATAATCACAGGGAATACCCTACTGAGAAATTTGTGGATTTGAAAATACAAACATTATTGAAAGAGTACACTTAAATTTTCCGAACCTGGTCTTCGGAACTCAACACCAAATTTCATGGTCTATGGTTAAGTTGGAAGAAAACCACTGTCTATTGAAATGTTTTAACGCGTTATCATATTTTGGCATAAAATTGCAACTAACAAGGAAATCCCAAAACAATATACCAGTTATTCACACTTAATGGACCCGATGTTTCGAATGGGGTTGGTTATGTGAAAAGAATAGAAAAGATTGTAGATATACTGATTTGTTTGACATTCCGTTTATATTTATATATTCTTCACAATGACTGGCTTCAAAGGAAGAAGACATATTTACACAATATCTGTAATATAAAGTTCAAAGGGTTTGTACTTCAAAGAATTTAAAGACACTTTATCTTCTGAAAAGTATCTTCTCACCTCAAAATGTATATTACCGTCTTCTCAAAATTGAGTTGAATTCATAAATAAATGAATAAATACAGACTTTTTCCCATTTTGACAACTGGTGTGATAGGAAGAAATTAGCAGTCACTGAATCAAGATGTATTTGTATTAAAACAGTCGCCATAATGGGAAGATATCCCATAGGTTCACAGTAGCTTGCAATGTAAATCAACAAAGTTGTCTCCCCGTTGGAGTATTACAGCCTATATTCTAGCGTGAGTTATCTGCCCACCTGGAAGGCGGGCGCATGTTCCCCCTCTTGGCATCCATCTGCCGCTTGACCTTGTGTTCCACACTGGCCAACTTCTGCAAGGAATAGACGGCAAGGTGGACGAACAAGAAGGCGAACATGACGTAATGAGAGTCATATCATAGCTGGAAGCACACACGATGTCATCTTATACTCGGGCTGGAATACGTGTACATTAATGACCTTCAGCGTTTCTTTGTTGTTTAACGCCGTATGGTGCTGACCATATTTCTTCAAAATTCTTCAAGGCACCGTTATACTGCACACTCTATACTGTTATACTGCGCCATTTTGAGCAGTATTCGGGATTTGAAACCAGGGAGCTCGGGTATGGTGCCGACCAACCTAGAAACAAACCTGAATTCGAACCCACGATCATAGGTTTCAGGCGTATCAAAGAGACGCATCGCTGCACAACAAATTGCGTCACCTCCGACGACTGGGCTATCCATCATCGCAAATTACTTAATCTTGTTAATGTAGAGATAATAAGAAACACGGATTATATAAATTCATTATTTATTTGTTTCATGGTGGTTTCAACACGAACATGATACATATAACAGAAGCGAGGGAAAGAAACAGGTGGAGAGTTTAACACACTGATCAGCAGTTGTTGGGTAAATAGTCGGAGACAAGTGTGAGAAAAAGATTCATAGTAATGAATGACATTTCTTCTCGATGAAAAGAAAAATATTTCGAGTCATACGCTATAATTGTCCAGTTAATGACATCGTTCTACTATATTAAATAATATACCATATGACATAAAACAGCAATCATAAGAAATATTAAAGTAGTTCTCTTTTAAATGCATTTAAATACTTTACATACAAATGGAGCAACATGTCAACAAGAGCTCGCACATATTCTTTGAGCAATCCAAATCACAAATAGTAATACTTATTCGCTGCCATTCATTCATTTCCGTTCGGTTAATCTTAACGTTACGACTGTCGTAAGTACGACGTTGTTACGACATGTGAACCGCTGCGACCGTTTTGTGAAACGGACTCTGGATCAAGAAGCATAAAATGAAAGAAACGAAACTGCTAATACAAAAGCAATAAATAATGTTCTTGGCACTGCATCAGTGGATACTTTTTGATACTTATTCTACACAATGTAGCTCTGGGAAAAGCTGATATCAACATATTGTTAAATAGGCGTGCAGGAGCTGATGGCGGGGCGACAGTCAAGTCAATGCCACGCCAAACTAAGCTGCGAGTGGTATCTATTTTCAGGTTGGCTGTGGGCAATACGATATGAGTTATGGGGAAATGGTCACGTATGATAAACTCTGTTCATAAACGTTGTCATCATTCAGAATTATGTTCAGAAAAATCGGAGATATCTTTCTTTACTTTACTTGCGTGTATCCTACAAACCTCTCACATTCTAGGACACGTGACATGAAGAATGTATGCTCTAATAAACACCATTTTATGTTTTGAGTGACATCGTTGCCTACTACCAGAACCATCATGTTCATTGTCGTTTTATTGTTTCTTAAAAATGAAATATATCGTCAACGACCGTTTTTGGTCAGCTCCCCTTGAAAGCATTGTCGACGCAACGAAACATACTTGAAAATAACAGACAGTCAGTCCCAGCACACACTAGTCGCAAGTGGTGAGGAGGATTCTATCGTCACAGCACGACACTAAATATACTTAATAGTGAGTGAGTGAGTGAGTTGGGTTTAACATTATTCCAGTTATATCACGGCGTGTCTGCTTAATGTGGGATGAAAGCCCGAAGTGACTTTGGTAAAACCCATGAGCACGGGTATGGTGCTGACAAACCTAGAAACAAAATCGGGGCGAACCAGAATTCTAACCAACAATCATAGGTTTCTGGCGTGCCCAATCTCGGCGCCTCAGACGACTGGACCACCCGTGCCCCCTACTTTTAAGTGACAAAGCCACACTTAATCACCCAAATATACCATTCTTAGGATCTCTGGAAGGTTGTGAGGTTTTTCTCCCTGGGGCATGCCCTGTGCAATGGCGGAGGAAAACTATTATCCACACAACTAATTAGGTACAGCTGACGGTGAAGAGGACTTCTGTTGAAATGTATGGCAATGACATAATAGAGGTACCGCATTCGCAGGAATGCTGCTATTTCCACATAAATGACAGCCATGGATGTGTGCCACAGGTCCTTGGTGAGGTCAGGCAGAGCATGATATAACCTGACAGATCTGTACCTGACTTGGTGTTGTCTGTGAATTACATTCATGTGAAGGCTAACCAGGGGAGAGAACTCCCACTTATATATTGTGAACACCAACACCATGCACAAGCACCTGTGTACATGTAATAATACATCAGGTCTAACATTGTCCTGCCCAAAGTATTATTAGAGCTTTCTACTGTGGCAATGTGATTAAAGAACAAATTGATCTAGGTTACTGCAAGTTATTGAAACAAAACAAATAACACGAAGGAACATAATCTGCTTTGTTAAAAGAATAAAAATATATAATGCCAAAAATATATATAATGCCTTGCCACTTCTTGAGAATATGATAGAGCTACTTCATGAAAGAACCAATCAGATTCTTACAAGAGACGACGTTCTACCATCCCTGTCTGATAATGTTGTGCAATGAAGTTCTGCACTTCCGACCCCAGTCTTGTATAACTTGATTACATGCTGAGGGCAGACATTGAGCTGAGACAGAAGAATAGATTTGAGCTGATCAGAAGAAGTAATGTTCTCATGCAGCTTGGCCCCTGCCAAGCACAACTAAAATACAGCTGGAGAGAGGTTGAGCAGATGGAAGGATAGCCTTGAGCTCTTCAGATAGAGACACAACACAGAATACCAGTACACTATTTACAATGGCCTGTACACTATGTACATATATACACACTCCCGACATCTACCATGGTCCAATCAGACTACCAACATCTAGCACTGTCCAATCACACACCTACATTCAACGGGCATTGTCACAACAAATCAACACACTTCTGTATTCATCTTGTGAAACGTGATCGTGTCTCTTTGGCTCACAAGGACAACTATCACATTTTACATGTAATTAATGATATCCTAAAAGTAAAATTCTTCAAAACATATTGTACAAGAAGATACAAAATCAGTTATTAAATTACCCCATAAAGAGAATAATTTTATACAGAATATATTTACTTAATTCCTCATAGGTTATAAACTTGATTTGAATACATCTACTTAAAACTGACATGACAAAGTTCTTTAGGTGAAAAAGATATATCTTATTTGCAATGCCTATCTCTACACAAGGACAGTACCAAAAGTGTTCATGTTTCTGGTCACCTTTGTGGTGGACACATTATCTTACTGGCAAAACTCAATTTTTTATCGCATCTGTAAATACATGTTGTTGTCCTGGATCTTTTTAACCTTCATGTTACAGAGTTGGGTACAGACAAGTGAAAATGTGGAAAGGATAGCTGCCTATTTCGAGAATAGAATAATGAAAAGAGTTTAACACCCCGTCTTCTTTTCTTAGCAACCAATGAAAGCCCTATCAAATGAACATTTGTGAACAAATCCTTATGGAAAGCTTACATTTGATTGGCTCATAAACCCACGTATCTTTCATTTTGAGTTTGCCATCAAAGTTCACTCAGAGGTCCTCTGTTGTGACATAGCTCAAGTTTGTCAGATCTTAATACAGACAGATACAGAATACAAGTAATAGACATGGACCCATTCTACAAAGCAAAAACAGATGATCGAAACTCCCTACTTTCACATAGGCTTAGTTGCTAGTGCTAAGATCGCTCTGTGGAACAAGGGCCTGATTTTAATTAACTTGCACTCTTACTGTCATCAGGCTCATTTTCAATTTCTTCTTGCTGTCAAGACCAACACAACTTGCATCTACCACAGTCTCTACTCCCTGTTGCTTCCTGTGAAGGCCAACACAACTTGCATCTACCACGGTCTCTACTCCCTGTTGCTTCCTGTGAAGGCCAACACAACTTGCATCTACCACAGTCTCTACTCCCTGTGAAGGCCAACACAACTTGCATCTACCACGGTCTCTACTCCCTGTGAAGGTCAACACAACTTGCATCTACCACAGTCTCTACTCCCTGTTGCTTCCTGTGAAGGCCAACACAACTTGCATCTACCACGGTCTCTACTCCCTGTTGCTTCCTGTGAAGGCCAAGCCAACTGCTGCAGAAGAAGCGGAGTCGGTTTAAGTCTATGGCACTGTCATGGCTTCTTGTGAACCAGCTCTCTGGTTTGCATGCTGTCGGTATGTCCTAGTTATATCCCAGCTATACGGTATAGTCCCAGCCATATACAGGTGGTGTAGACCCCTCAGCAGTCAGTGGAGTGGGACATCTTCCTCCGCCCACGCAGCTGTCTCTGGACGACGTTGTGGACATCAACCTTTTCAGACATCGGCGGCTGAAACACAAACACAGAATCAGACAATTGCAGAAGTGTAGTTCAGCTGGACCGGCAAGCATCGCAGAGACCTCAGCTGGTCATTAATTAAGTGAGTAATTTTAGTTATATCATGGTGTGTAAGCTCAATGTGGGAGGAAATTCTGAAGTGATGCATATCTCAGACTTTTACCACTTAAGTGAAATTCACAAGCACGGGTACGGGGCTGACAAACCTAGAAACATGATCAGTGTGAATCTGGGATTCAAACCCCTGATCATAGAATTCATAATATGAAAAACTGACATTTTCACTTCGTGACTTGTGGCTGCACCATGCATAAAAATGTCAAGTTTGTCAGGTCATTCGATGAGATATACATGTCATCTGTCAAGAAAAGCAAAATTTCTCATAAAACTCAAGGGAGTGAACTGACAGCAACCACAGCTTTCATACTTCTCTTGGCAATTCCATCTCTGTGAAGCTAATTTGGTTTGCATCATTTTTCCTAATTATGTTAGAAGGGCTGGTAATTTCAGGTTTACTGAACAAATCTTCCTGAATTAAGGGCGTTAACTGACTAGAAAAGTCCAGTTTCCACCCTTGCCAGCCTAGTTTGGCAAGGGTGGAAACTTGATTTTTACAGTCACTTACACTCCCTGGCCTTAGGAAGATGCATAAAACTTAAATCTGTATATGGCTCTCTGTGCAAAAGCAATATTACAGCTATATGACAGGGGGTCAGTAAAAATTCAATCTGGACCAGACAATGCTGTGCAGTCATTGACATCATGAGCATCGATCTATGCTATTGGGAAACAATGACAAGCATCAACCAAGTCAGCGAGCCTGACCACCTGATCCCGTTAGTCGCCTCTTACGACATGCATAGTAGCCTCTTACGACAAGCATGGGTAGCCGAAGATCAATTCCAAAATGTTTCAAGTCTACAATCCCAAACATGGCTCTTGGTATCATTTTGAGTAACATTTAGTGCAGTTGGGCTATTATTAACTGAACTGACAGGGCGGAACAGAATTAAACTAGGCTGGGGCTTTCAACTGGTGGCTAGAATCACAGACTGCCATGAATAATGATAATGGGTGTACTTATACTGCCCTAAACTCCTTACACAAGGTGCATGCTCAAAATGCAAACATTATTAACCCGGTCAATGGATCAGTGTGCACTCAAGTTTTCATTCTCAGCTTCCTGGGGAAGCTGCCTTTTAGTTGCTGGAAGGTTAACAGCCACATTACCATCTCATTCTACCGGGTACCCAGTCACTACAGGGTGAACAGAGGCACATTTCAAACCAAGTCCCGTGCTAATGAGAGGCCACATGTTCTACATGTGCTTCAGTGTAGGGCAGGACGGAAACCCTAGAAACTCTCAGGAGTCCAGCTGCTGAACGTGGTCACCCATCCAACTGTTCTCTGCAACCCACATTGCTTAACTGCACTGTTTTGTGACCTGTGTGCTGTGCACAGGACCACATGCCACCACAAAGAATGGAAACACTGGCAGTTAACTAATCAACTTGGTTGGTATACTCACAACAAAAGGTGCACAAGCAAAGGGTGCAGACACCTCCTCCTTGTATAGATTCCTCCTCCCTCGCTTCCCCTTCTTGCTGGATGGCTCCGGCTCCTGGGTATGAGGTTCCCCGCTGTCTCCCATCGTGCCTATGAATTTCTTAGCTGCAGCGAATGTTTTAGACGATAAGCGTGTTATTTTTTCCCAGTCTGTCATACATATTCACCATCACCAGCAAAGAGGTATTAGCCAGGTGTTACAGAGCAAGATGGATGAGAGATCCAGTACGCCAGGGATGTTGAACATCGATGCGCAGTCCATGATGGTAGACCAAAATCACAAGGTCCATCAAATATGGAATCAGTCCATCGTTGACAGGTGTTACAGGTGAGATGTTGAACAGGTGTGTGCAGGTAGGTTAGATGCAGGTGAGGGTAATTAGCAACATCAAAGGGAAGAAGGAAAGAGGGGGAAAAAGAAAAAACAAACAATTGTTACAATAAATTAACATCAGATATCAACATATTTATTGTCTTGTTACCAAGGTTTATTTAGTTTTAACCATTGATGTATTGGTCAATAGGATAGGAGTATTAAGATGCCACAGTACTTTTTTCTAAGATGGAAAGGACAGGGTAGGATAAGGGCCCCTTTTGGCTCACTGGTTATGCCAAATTTTAAAGTTGCAAAAATATTGCTATAAAACTTATCACAGATGTTTAAATGGCTGACAACTAGCCTTTTTTATCTTTCAGATTAAATCTGTGACTCAAAATGAATTTTTTTAATGCCCGTACAGTTTTTATTAGGAAATCACTTCCAAAAGGCCTTTAAAACAAACATGAATTTACAACCATCATGAGGATCTATTATCAATTGGAATCCTCCCGGGTGTACATGGGAGAAAAATCCACAATTACCCAAAATGTTTGTGAAGCTAAAGCATATGGAAGCTGAAGCAGGGGTGTTGAATGTTTGTTGGATGTATTCTGCATCTGCAGTCCGTAATATTCCAGCTATGTAGCAGCCTGGAAGTCTGGGCCAGGCAAACCAGTGGTCAGTCAGATAATAATCGTCCCACATGATCATAGCACCACAGCATGCAATCAGTCAAATGACAGAGCTTGACCATCATAAGTCTGCGCTTACAACAAGCATTGCTACTGTGGACATACTCTGGCCCAGATTTCTGCAGTGTTGTCTTTCATTATGAAGATTAAACAGGAGAAAGCTGGATGCGAGATGTGGGATGGGGTAGCTATGGTAACAAACCTGATCTGGTGACAGGAGAGTTGGCAATTGCAGTGACAATGTCTCCAATCTTTCCCTTCGCGACTTTCTTCGCTCTTCGGGATGGCCGGCCACCTTCCTCTTCCTCCTGAAAGTCAGCAGAAGTGAGGTAATGATACTGAGTGAGTGTTGCTTAACACAGGTCTCAGCTATGTTGTAGTAATATCAAGACTCACACAGACAAACCACTCTATCAGGACCATCATATTTCCCATTCTTTGGTACTTGTTTCAGGAAAACTGCTGTCTTGTATATAAAGCGCAATGAAAAACAACATTGTATCCATTCAGGTACACAAACGAACAGGAGATAAACCGTAATGAAAATTTATGACATGATGATTTACAATTGCATTTGTCTTTCCTGTTAAGCAAGGCATGTTTTATACACAAAGATTATGACTGCAGCATGTAATTATTTCGTGAAATAAGCTAAAAGCTGCAATTTAATAAGCTCACAGGATCTACAAGTGATTCAGTCAGAAAATACCCAAATAATGCAAAAAAATCAATAGAATCTAAATGAACGGATGAGAAGAAATTCAATGTGAAACTACATGTATTATTGCACCAGGAATAATATGGTTTAATATTTTGTCATTTTTGTGGTTGCATTATATTATATCAATTTAACATAATGATTGTTTGTTTAACCCCACAGACAGCAATATTCCAGCTACATGACGACAGTCTGTAAATGACCAAGTCCAATCCTGACAATCCAGAAATTGACATCATGAGTATCAATCAACACAATTGGGACATGTATCAACAAAATCAGTGAGCCTTACCACCCAATCCTGTGAGTCGCCTCACAGACTTACGAAAGTCGTAGCGCTGAGATTGTTTTGTTTGTTTGTTGTTTAACGCCGCACTCAGCAATATGCTTGCTATATGACAGCAGTCTGTAAATAATCAAGTCTGAACCAGACAATACAGTGACTGACATCATGAACATCGATCTACGCAATTGGGATACGATGACATGCATCAACCAAGTCGGCGAGCATGACCACCCGGTCCCGTTACATACAGTCGCCATACAGCAAGCTTGCTGGGTTACTAGGTTGCTGAAGACCTATTTTAAACCCAGATCTTCATGGGTCTGAAGTTGTTTTGTACCATGGTACATGGGTTGCTGATGGCCAATTCTAACCCAGATCTTCATAAGGATTTACAATAAACATAATCAGTTCTACATGTTTGACTTACAGCTATTGCCATGAGATTGTCAGTAGGCAGAGGCTCTGGTTCTTTTTTAACTTGAGCAGGTCGACCTCGACCCCGTTTGGACTTAGGCGTCTGGAAGAGAAGCAGTATATTAATCAATGCAAGTTTCTCCAAATGAGTCTTCAAGGTTATTACATGGCAGTTTTCATATACCCCATATCAAACCGAGACCCCCATATCAGCCCGAGATCCCCATATCAGCCTGCCATATACTAACCTTTTTATCATATAACACAACATCAAATTGTCAAATGTAGATATTTGCAAGTGAATGCAATACATTTTCAATTTGTTTGGAAGACATTGTCACGGGAAAGCTGGCCTAACAGATATCATATCAGCCATATCAGCTTAGCAGGGGTGTAATACAGGTCTGGTTATTACAATGTGAAATGACGGTCTCTGTGTTGGCTCCATCGCACATGCAAAATGCCTCATGGTATATGATAATATATTATATTAGCCCATTGTCAATACTTCAGGTCTGTATTCACTCACTCCTTCAGAACCCATGAATACATGTGGAAGATTTGTGGTGTAGTAGTGTCAGTCAGCTCATGAAAGAGTGAGAGAGTGAGTTGGGTTTAACGCCGCTTTTAACAGTATTCCAGTTATATTGAGGTGTGTCAGCTTAATGTGGGAGAAAGCCCGAAGTGATGCAGGTCTCAGATGTTTATCACTTCAGTGAAACCCACGAGCACGGGTATGATGCTGACAAACCTAGAAACATAATCGGGGCAAACCGGGATCCAAACCCACAATCATAGGTTTCTGGTGTGCCCAAGGGGTGCAACTCTGCACAGCGAATCACGGCGCCTTAGATGACTGGGCCACCCGTGCCCCCAGCCAATGATAGAAGACTGTTTAGAAAAATGACCCTGTGCATGAACTGGGCAAACCTCTATCATAGCCTGGGTGCTATTGTACAAAACGGTCTTAGGGCTAAGCATATCTTGATATATCCCATTTCATGGTTAAAAATAGCGACTACATCCGTATGTCATGTGAGGTTTAATATCGCATTCAAGACTAATGCACTTATATTGCTAGGTGTATGCATATGTGTGGTGTCTTGTGCTAGTCTGAACATATGCTGGTTTTATAGTGCTACCCCAGAGGTACCATGCCACAGTTTAACATAGATACACCATTCAGGGATAGAATACTGACTCCGAGCAAACCAGTTCTTGTTTTATCCCCTTAATGCCGAGCTCGAGGTCAGGTAACCATCTTTTAAAGTCTTTTAATTTGACACGACCCTTGATCAAACCACAGACCTTCTGGGCAGATGATCTTGCAACAAGGCCACGGAGGCAGTCATTGGCCGTATGTAACAACAAGTTGAGGATCACAGTGTGTACAAAATCTGTGAAGTTTTATGCCAAAGTGAGTGAGTGAGTGAGTTAATATTAACGTCACATCGGCAATATTTCAGCCATAACGTGAGGGGAAGTTATACATTAAGAATACATATATAATATATTTAGATTAATTTGATGCATACTAGCATACAACCATAAAAAGATATCACCATATCTAACAATACATAATAACAAAGGGCTACAGATCGCCAGCAGCTGAAGGTAGATCACCATGCTAGGGTCCATGGGGACTAACAGTACCTTTGCTTCCGGTATGGACTTTCCGCCAAAGTCAGAAATATTCTGAACATAGAGTCATGAATACTCTCGAATATCAAAGTCCAAGTGAAAATCAGTTTTGAATAAAAGGGAAAAGGTTGATACATCAATTTGGACAAAAATATGAACTTGTAAATCCTTTCTTTTTTTTCATGGGCAAGATTTCATTTTACAAAGATAATATAGTGTGAAAAATCAAATCACAACCAACTCTGCACTTAACAAGACATAAATCAAAAGAGTAAATATACTATTTGCAGCCCTACCTGTTCTGGAGCAGGAGATTCCTCTTGTGCCGGCGCTCGTTTCCTCCCCGACTTCTTGATGGCCTTGGCAGCTATTGGGGGCGTGGCATCCATCTCCTGGTGGCCATGTGTGGGTTCATTGTCATTCACGAAGCTGGGGTCCATTCGTGGGGGTTTGGGGGGAGGGGGGACTCCCTGTAAGGCAAGTCAGTCATTATAATCACAGCTAACCAAGATTCTTCAGTCAAACTTTGAAAACTGAATTTGTCAGTAAATCAGTTGAATTTTTCTGTTAATATTTACTCCCTTCAAATCCAAAAAGGAGCTATGTTTGGGGTTCTAAACCATTAATATTTGATCTGCAGATACTGACTTTCAGAAAATAAAACTACAGTGTTTTGGAATATGAGGAAACAATAAGAGCTCTTTTCAGAGGATAATAAATAATATATTGACTACTTCAAATTCTTACACTAATACTCACTCAATTGACATTTAATAACAAGGGTTTTTTTTAAATTTAATCATTTGATCACTTTAATTTCTTCTGCAAATACACACTCCATTCCCACAAAATAGTAACAGCTATTGTCTGAGGATTGTATGTGCCAGTCAAGGAACATAAGCTGAGATATATATCCAGAAGTGTCCTGAAGGAAGGCCAGATGCATGTAGAACAAGGCAACATGGAAAACACAGATAGAATCACCATGTACAGCATACACAGGGTTATCTGATGCACTAGTCTGCATGCAAGAATACAGTGGTTGGAGAAGACAACACCAATAATTCCTTCATCTTTATAAACATCTGACTGAGATCAACATTTAGATCTGGTTGTCCGATCTCCGTATACTTTGTATTCCTTATGCTGACAAATTCTCCTTTACCATTATTTGATGAATTTCTGAATTCCATCTTGAAAATAATTACATGTATGTCTCGTAACCTTTAATCTCAAAATTTACAATTATTTTGACATTGTGCATATGATTGTTCTCTCCCATTTTGCCAGCAAAGACTTCGCCTGAAGCAACAGGAAAGCATATTTAACCCAAAGAAACAGAATTGTCATCTGGGGTTAACCAAGCATAGACGAAATTTACCAAATTGTTACAAAAATGGGATTTTTTTTTCTAGTTCCAATCTTCCTAAATTCTGAGACATTTTAACATTGCATTCAGTGCAATAATGTAAAGTAAGCTTCAAAGACTCTTCCTGTTTTTAAGTCCTGTTATCTGTGCTGTGCAGTCACCTCCACAAAGCCATAACATCTTGACATGAACTGGAAAATTTTATTCCAATTTGTGAATTATTACTGACATTTGCTGCAGACTTGGGCTCATTTGTTGGCCTCTGAGAAAGCCAAGATAAACTGTTACCCCTGTCATAGTATTGGGCATGATCTGAAGCGTTTCTCTGATGTTATCTGGTGAATAATGGTGATACACAAAACTCGGTGAAGGGCTTGAGTTACAAAGTCTGGACATGAACAGTCCACTTTGGTTTCAGTTCTTATCTTAACAAGCATGAACAGTTGAATAAGTTTCAACAATTCCAACAGTCATCCTCCTTTTCTTCCAATAGTGCTAACAGTACATATGATTGGAGCCATTATTAACATATACCGTATTCTCCCTATTAGATGCTGGGATGTAATACGTACCGGGTCATTTGCACAAAAAATAGAGTGAGTGAGTGAGTGAGGTTTTACGCCGCTTTTAGCAATATTCCAGCAATATCACGGCGGGGGACGCCAGAAATGGGCTTCACACATTGTACCCATGTCGGGAATCGAACCCGGGTCTTCGGAGTGACGAGCGAACGCTTTAACCACTAGGCTACCCGACCGCCCGTTACAAAAAATAGAAGCCAGGTACCCAGATACAGGTTGTTGAAACCAACAATTATATATATTATATTTTTCTATTATATACTGTGATGTGCTGGTGATTAATAATAATTTCCTGCAAATGTACCTTTGTATGACTGAAGAATTTGGGATTCAGCATTAAGGAAGTGAGTTGCCACTGTGTCAGCATTAAACAGAATAGATGCCGGGCCTCTAATAGACGCCATGTCAAAGGCTTGCACAAAATGAATAGAGGCCCTGGCGTCAAATAAGGGAAATATGGAAGCAATAATTTGAGTCAGGTTAAACCCTGCTCAAAGCTTATATCAAAGCCTTTCATCCACAGTGCATCTTATAATTCAAACAATTATCAGTTTGAAGGAATATGAAGTTAAGAGTCTCCTAAGACTGTCAGCTTGAGATGGCATAACACTTTCACTCATGCAACATGCAGCAACCATTACAATAGGCAACAACAAAATACATCATGCATGTTTTTCAAGAGCAGCGATTTATCAAAGAGCCATTGACTGGCAATTTTGGAAAAAGATTACTTTGCTCCAATTGGTCAGTGAAATACATGTCACCTGTACAAAGTAATAACATTAAAGTTTACAATATGACATGAATTGGAAATTTGTAATTCGAATTTGGGAATTTTTATTGACATTTGCTGCCGACTTGGAGCCTAAGAGCAGGTCTAGAAAAATCCCTGAAGGGACAATGGCCTCTATGACATGCAAAACAAGCCAGTGGTTTAAAAAGCAGACGTCTCTGAACTTTGCCAAGTATATAATAAGCTATTTGATATTTGTATTAAGTTAACTTTCCAAACCTTCACCAGCTACTTTTGAAATCAAACAACACAAACATCTTTGCTGCATGCAGACATACAAGGTTAACGTAAGCAAGGCTGAGAAAATATGGTCATTTGATTTTAATGTGAGAAGACCTTAAGATAATGAACATTCCTCAGAAGGCTCGAAATATAAAAAAACAAACTGTTCATAAAATTTAATTCACTATTTTGTCACAATTACCAAAGCGCCACAAATCTTTTGAGAAAATAAAAAGACAAAGATGACTTTCATACTTTAAAAATCATTTTCTATGAGAAATGTTGACATTTCCATGACGTATATAAATGATTAGACTAGCTGTCGACAAAGAAACAAGCCTCTAAAACAAAATGCTGACCATTCTCATCTCTGCACGTCACCTGCCGTGTTGCAAGTACTCACACCCATAACGTGTCATGTGACAAGGTGGACATCCCTGTGCAGTATCAACATCATGTGACCCATGAACGACAAATCACCATGAAGATAAAACGCCACATTTCCTTGACAACAGGAAAAGAGTTGTGACAAGCATGACACAAGCTGCAGTGCCCAACGTAACGCGTGAGTAGGTGGGTGTGGCCATGCCATGAGTACCTGCAGTGCTGCCACCTGTACCTGTAGGCGATTGTTGGAACACTTGAGGTCCGCCACGATCTGGTCACTGGCCTTCTGCAGCAGCCGCATCTGTCTCTGGAGCTCCAGCTTGTCCTCACGCTCCTGCTCCAGCTGGAACATCGGGGGCATAATGTAACATCGTTAACATCAGTGGCAACATTCTCAACACCATAGACATCCTCAACGTCAGTGACATCATTAAGATAACTGGCAAAATTCAAACGTGATTGACACTGACACCATCCTTATACCTGTGACATCTTTAACTGACTACAATCCTGAGCACAAATGACAAAATCTTTAACATCGCTGACATCCTTAACATCACTGGCAACATCCTTAGCATCACTGACAACATTTTTAGCATCACTGACAACATTTTTAGCATCACTGACAAATTCTTTAGCATCACTGACAACATTTTTAGCATCACTGACAACATCCTTAACATCACTGACAACATCCTTAGCATCACTGACAACATCTTTAGCATCACTGACAACATCTTTAGCATCACTGACATCTTTAACATCACTGACAACATCTTTTGCATCACTGACAACATCTTTAGCATCACTGACAACATCCTTATACCTATGACATCTTTCACATCGCTGACTACAATCCTGAGCACAAATGACAAAATCTTAAACATCACTGACATCCTTAGCATCACTGACAACATCTTTAGCATCACTGACAACATCTTTAGCATCACTGACAACATCTTTAGCATCACTGACAACATCCTTAGCATCACTGACAACATCTTTAGCATCACTGACAACATCTTTAGCGTCACTGTCAACATCCTTAGCATCACTGGCTAAATCTTCAACATCACTGACAACATCTTTAGCATCACTGACATCTTTAACATCACTGACAACATCTTTTGCATCACTGACAACATCTTTAGCATCACTGACAACATCCTTATACCTATGACATCTTTCACATCGCTGACTACAATCCTGAGCACAAATGACAAAATCTTTAACATCACTGACATCCTTAGCATCACTGACAACATCTTTAGCATCACTGACAACATCTTTAGCATCACTGACAACATCCTTAGCATCACTGGCAACATCCTTTGCATCACTGACAACATCTTTAGCATCACTGACATCTTTAGCATCACTGACAACATCCTTAGCATCACTGGCTAAATCTTCAACATCACTGACAACATCCTTAGCATCACTGGCTAAATCTTCAACATCACTGACATCCTTTACATCACTGACATCCTTAACATCATTGACATCCTCAACATCACTGACTCAATCCACAACATCACTGACATCCTTAGCATCACTGGCAACACCCCCAGTGTCACGTAACATCATTGACATCCCCAACATCACTGACTCAATCCGCAACATCACTGACATCCTTAGCATCACTGGCAACACCCCCAGTGTCACGTAACATCATTGACATCCCCAACATCACTGACACCATCCAAACATCACTGAAGTCCTCAACATCACAGACAAAATCCTCAACATCACTGACAACATCCTCAACATCACTGACAACATCCTCAACATCACTGACAACATCCTCAACATCACTGACAACATCCTCAACATTACTGACAACATCAATGACAACATCAATGACAACATCCAAACATCACTGACATCCTCAACATCACTGACATCCTCAACATCACTGACATCCTCAACATCACTGACAACATCCTCAACATCACTGACAACATCCTCAACATCATAGACATCCTCAACATCACTGACATCCTCAACATCACAGACATCCTCAACATCATAGACATCCTCAACATCACTGACAACATCCTCAACATCACTGACATCCTCAACATCACTGACATCCTCAACATCACAGACATCCTCAACATCATAGACATCCTCAACATCACTGACAACATCCTCAACATCACTGACGACATCCTCAACATCACAGACATCCTCAACATCACAGACATCCTCAACATCACTGACAACATCCTCAACATTACTGACAACATCCTCAACATTACTGACAACATCCAAACATCACTGACAACATCCAAACATCACTGACAACATCACTGACAACATCCAAACATCACTGACATCCTCAACATCACAGACATCCTCAACATCACAGACATCCTCAACATCACAGACATCCTCAACATCACAGACATCCTCAACTTCACTGACAACATCCTCAACATCACTGACAACATCCTCAACATCACTGACATCCTCAACATCACTGACATCCTCAACATCATAGACATCCTCAACATCATAGACATCCTCAACATCACTGACAACATCCTCAACATCACTGACGACATCCTCAACATCACAGACATCCTCAACATCACTGACATCCTCAACATCACTGACATCCTCAACATCACTGACATCCTCAACATCACTGACATCCTCAACATCATAGACATCCTCAACATCACTGACAACATCCTCAACATCACTGACATCCTCAACATCACAGACATCCTCAACATCACAGACATCCTCAACATCACAGACATCCTCAACATCACAGACATCCTCAACTTCACTGACAACATCCTCAACATCACTGACAACATCCTCAACATCACTGACATCCTCAACATCACTGACATCCTCAACATCACTGACATCCTCAACATCACTGACATCCTCAACATCACAGACATCCTCAACATCACAGACATCCTCAACTTCACTGACAACATCCTCAACATCACTGACAACATCCTCAACATCACTGACATCCTCAACATCACTGACATCCTCAACATCATAGACATCCTCAACATCACTGACATCCTCAACATCACTGACATCCTCAACATCACTGACATCCTCAACATCATAGACATCCTCAACATCACTGACAACATCCTCAACATCACTGACATCCTCAACATCACAGACATCCTCAACATCACAGACATCCTCAACATCACAGACATCCTCAACATCACAGACATCCTCAACTTCACTGACAACATCCTCAACATCACTGACAACATCCTCAACATCACTGACATCCTCAACATCACTGACATCCTCAACATCATAGACATCCTCAACATCACTGACAACATCCTCAACATCACTGACATCCTCAACATCACAGACATCCTCAACATCACAGACATCCTCAACATCATAGACAACATCCTCAACATCACTGACAACATCCTCAACATCACAGACAACATCCTCAACATCACAGACATCCTCAACATCAGACATCCTCAACATCACTGACATCCTCAACATCACAGACATCCTCAACATCAGACATCGTCAACATCACTGACAACATCGTCAACATCACTGACATCCTCAACATCACTGACATCCTCAACATCACAGACAACATCCTCAACATCATAGACATCCTCAACATCACAGACATCCTCAACATCAGACATCGTCAACATCACTGACAACATCGTCAACATCACTGACATCCTCAACATCACTGACATCCTCAACATCACTGACAACATCCTCAACATCATAGACATCCTCAACATCACTGACATCCTCAACATCACTGACAACATCCTCAACATCACTGACATCCTCAACATCACAGACATCCTCAACATCACAGACATCCTCAACATCATAGACAACATCCTCAACATCACTGACAGGCTATCAAGTTTAACCAGCAGGCATGCAGTGAGCATTGTACAAGATAACGAAGTAATTTTGCAAACTAAGTAAATGCATGAATGGTTGAATCACTACATCGAGTCTCACGAACACCATAACAGTAGTGAGCAAGGTTGGGATCTTTCAATGACAAGTGACATTTACCTTTCCAACAACTTCCTTCTTTTAAAGGTATAGATATGTTAAATTATAAATAAGTGACTTCATGTAAGTGTTATTCCGGCATTTGATCGGAAAATAGAGATTTGTAGAGGGATGCAGGTTACATTGTGTTACAGAGTATTGTTATACTATACTCTTTTAAAACAATTTCATGCAATCAAGTAAAAATAAGTTGGGTGATGGTGATATATTTTATGAATTTTACGCAATCACCCATCTCATCTGGAGGTCTGAGAAAGGCTATCAAACCTGTTTCCTGAGCAGCTCCAAGTCAGGGTGGGAGGTGACAGTGGATCTCTTGCGACCTCGGCTGCCGCTCTTGTTCTGTGGGGTCATCATGTGCTCCAGATTGAGGAGCTTCTCCTCCAACTCCACGATCTTCAACTCCTTCTCCTCCATCTGGGACAGCACCTCATCCTGGGGAGACATACAAGTATGGTGAGTGGGGACATACAAGTGTGGTGAGTGGGTACATACAACTGTGGTGAGTGGGTACATACAAGTGTGGTGAGTGGGGACAGCATCTTGGGGGACATACAAGTGTGGTGAGTGGGGACAGCATCTTGGGGGACATACAAGTGTGGTGAGTGGGGACAGCACCTCATCCTGGGGGACATACAAGTGTGGTGAGCGGGGACAGCATCTTGGGGGACATACAAGTGTGGTGAGTGGGTACATACAACTGTGGTGAGTGGGGACATACAAGTGTGGTGAGTGGGGACAGCATCTTGGGGGACATACAAGTGTGGTGAGTGGACAGCATCTTGGGGGACATACAAGTGTGGTGAGTGGGTACATACAAGTGTGGTGAGTGGGGACAGCATCTTGGGGGACATACAAGTGTGGTGAGTGGGGACAGCATCTTGGGGGACATACAAGTGTGGTGAGTGGGGACAACATCTTGGGGGACATACAAGTTTGGTGAGTGGGGACATACAAGTGTGGTGAGTGGGGACATACAAGTGTGGTGAGTGGGGACATACAAGTGTGGTGAGTGGGTACATACAAGTGTGGTGAGTGGGGACAGCATCTTGGGGGACATACAAGTGTGGTGAGTGGGGACAGCATCTTGGGGGACATACAAGTGTGGTGAGTGGGGACAGCATCTTGGGGGACATACAAGTGTGGTGAGTGGGTACATACAACTGTGGTGAGTGGGGACATACAAGTGTGGTGAGTGGGGACAGCATCTTGGGGGACATACAAGTGTGGTGAGTGGGGACATACAAGTGTGGTGAGTGGGGACATACAAGTGTGGTGAGTGGGGACAGCATCTTGGGGGACATACAATTGTGGTGAGTGGACAGCATCTTGGGGGACATACAAGTGTGGTGAGTGGGTACATACAAGTGTGGTAAGTGGGGACATACAAGTGTGGTGAGTGGGGACAGCATCTTGGGGGACATACAAGTGTGGTGAGTGGGGACAGCATCTTGGGGGACATACAAGTGTGGTGAGTGGGGACAGCATCTTGGGGGACATACAAGTGTGGTGAGTGGGGACAGCATCTTGGGGGACATACAAGTGTGGTGAGTGGGGACATACAAGTGTGGTGAGTGGGTACATACAAGTGTGGTGAGTGGGGACAGCATCTTGGGGGACATACAAGTGTGGTGAGTGGGGACAGCATCTTGGGGGACATACAAGTGTGGTGAGTGGGGACAGCATCTTGGGGGACATACAAGTGTGGTGAGTGGGTACATACAACTGTGGTGAGTGGGGACATACAAGTGTGGTGAGTGGGGACAGCATCTTGGGGGACATACAAGTGTGGTGAGTGGGTACATACAAGTGTGGTGAGTGGGGACATACAAGTGTGGTGAGTGGGGACATACAAGTGTGGTGAGTGGGGACATACAAGTGTGGTGAGTGGGGACATACAAGTGTGGTGAGTGGGGACAGCATCTTGGGGGACATACAAGTGTGGTGAGTGGACAGCATCTTGGGGGACATACAAGTGTGGTGAGTGGGTACATACAAGTGTGGTGAGTGGGGACATACAAGTGTGGTGAGTGGGTACATACAAGTGTGGTGAGTGGGGACAGCATCTTGGGGGACATACAAGTGTGGTGAGTGGGGACAGCATCTTGGGGGACATACAAGTGTGGTGAGTGGGGACAGCATCTTGGGGGACATACAAGTGTGGTGAGTGGGTACATACAACTGTGGTGAGTGGAGACATACAAGTGTGGTGAGTGGGGACAGCATCTTGGGGGACATACAAGTGTGGTGAGTGGGGACAGCATCTTGGGGGATATACAAGTGTGGTGAGTGGGTACATACAAGTGTGGTGAGTGGGTACATACAAGTGTGGTGAGTGGGGACATACAAGTGTGGTGAGTGGGGACAGCATCTTGGGGGACATACAAGTGTGGTGAGTGGGTACATACAAGTGTGGTGAGTGGGGACATACAAGTGTGGTGAGTGGGGACATACAAGTGTGGTGAGTGGGGACAGCATCTTGGGGGACATACAAGTGTGGTGAGTGGGGACAGCATCTTGGGGGATATACAAGTGTGGTGAGTGGGTACATACAAGTGTGGTGAGTGGGGACATACAAGTGTGGTGAGTGGGGACATACAAGTGTGGTGAGTGGGGACAGCATCTTGGGGGACATACAAGTGTGGTGAGTGGGTACATACAAGTGTGGTGAGTGGGGACATACAAGTGTGGTGAGTGGGGACATACAAGTGTGGTGAGTGGGGACATACAAGTGTGGTGAGTGGGGACATACAAGTGTGGTGAGTGGGGACATACAAGTGTGGTGAGTGGGGACAGCATCTTGGGGGACATACAAGTGTGGTGAGTGGACAGCATCTTGGGGGACATACAAGTGTGGTGAGTGGGTACATACAAGTGTGGTGAGTGGGGACATACAAGTGTGGTGAGTGGGTACATACAAGTGTGGTGAGTGGGGACAGCATCTTGGGGGACATACAAGTGTGGTGAGTGGGTACATACAAGTGTGGTGAGTGGGGACATACAAGTGTGGTGAGTGGGGACATACAAGTGTGGTGAGTGGGGACAGCATCTTGGGGGACATACAAGTGTGGTGAGTGGACAGCATCTTGGGGGACATACAAGTGTGGTGAGTGGGGACAGCATCTTGGGGGACATACAAGTGTGGTGAGTGGACAGCATCTTGGGGGACATACAAGTGTGGTGAGTGGGGACATACAAGTGTGGTGAGTGGGGACATACAAGTGTGGTGAGTGGGGACAGCATCTTGGGGGACATACAAGTGTGGTGAGTGGGGACATACATGTGTGGTGAGCGGGGACAGCATCTTGGGGGACATACAAGTGTGGTGAGTGGGGACATACAAGTGTGGTGAGTGGGGACATACATGTGTGGTGAGTGGGGACAGCATCTTGGGGGACATACAAGTGTGGTGAGTGGGGACAGCATCTTGGGGGACATACAAGTGTGGTGAGTGGGGACAGCATCTTGGGGGACATACAAGTGTGGTGAGTGGGGACAGCATCTTGGGGGACATACAAGTGTGGTGAGTGGGGACAGCATCTTGGGGGACATACAAGTGTGGTGAGTGGACAGCATCTTGGGGGACATACAAGTGTGGTGAGTGGGGACATACAAGTGTGGTGAGTAGGGACAGCATCTTGGGGGACATACAAGTGTGGTGAGTGGGGACAGCATCTTGGGGGACATACAAGTGTGGTGAGTGGGGACAGAATCTTAGGGGACATACAAGTGTGGTGAGTGGGGACAGCATCTTGGGGGACATACAAGTGTGGTGAGTGGGGACAGAATCTTAGGGGACATACAAGTGTGGTGAGTGGGGACAGAATCTTAGGGGACATACAAGTGTGGTGAGTGGGGACAGAATCTTAGGGGACATACAAGTGTGGTGAGTGGGGACAGCATCTTGGGGGACATACAAGTGTGGTGAGTGGGGACAGCATTTTGGGGGACATACAAGTGTGGTGAGTGGGGACAGAATCTTAGGGGACATACAAGTGTGGTGAGTGGGGACAGCATCTTGGGGGACATACAAGTGTGGTGAGTGGGGACAGCATTTTGGGGGACATACAAGTGTGGTGAGTGGGGACAGCATCTTGGGGGACATACAAGTGTGGTGAGTGGGTACATACAAGTGTGGTGAGTTGGGACAGCATCTTGGGGGATATACAAGTGTGGTGAGTGGGGACAGCATCTTGGGGGACATACAAGTGTGGTGAGTGGGTACATACAAGTGTGGTGAGTGGGTACATACAAGTGTGGTGAGTGGGGACAGCATCTTGGGGGACATACAAGTGTGGTGAGTGGGGACAGCATTTTGGGGGACATACAAGTGTGGTGAGTGGGGACAGCATCTTGGGGGACATACAAGTGTGGTGAGTGGGTACATACAAGTGTGGTGAGTGGGTACATACAAGTGTGGTGAGTGGGGACAGCATCTTGGGGGACATACAAGTGTGGTGAGTGGGGACAGCATTTTGGGGGACATACAAGTGTGGTGAGTTGGGACAGCACCTCATCCTGGGGAACATACAAGTGTGGTGAGTTGGGACAGCACCTCATCCTGGGGGACATACAAGTGCGGTGAGTTGGGACAGGACCTCATCCTGGGGGACATACAAGGAGGGGATGCTGATTGGGGACAGAAAAGTGGGGCGAGTGGGTACAGTATCTTGGGGCAACATATGGCAACATATGGGTGAAAGAGCGAGTGACAAATACCAACTTATTTGTCAATTTGCCCAGTAATAACAAGACCATGTTTCTGCAGGTTAATACCTTGATGGTGACCGTCTGCTTGTCCTGCTTGTCCTGCTTGTCCTGCTTGAGTTGTTTGATCTCCGCTGCCTGTTGCTTCATGAGTGTCTCCAGACTGCCAACCAGCTTGTCTCGCTGTTCTCGCCATGCCTGCTCATGGCACAGACAATCACTTGGTCAGACAAGGATACTTATCAGGCAGTTTCGTGAGTTTGGCTACTTCTCTATAAGGCAAACAAACAGTGCCATGTGACCTGTGACCTGTGACCTGTGGACTCTTCAGAATGTCAACACCTGAATTTGTTTCCCATTTTATTGAAAGAGATTAATGAACAGCAGTTTCCTTGAAATAAAGCTATCATCTCCAAATTGTATTTAGATTTGGCTTGCCTGGCATGAAAAGGGACATAACTCACCTCCATCTCATGGTCCTTGTCGGTAACATGTTTCCTCATATCTTTCAGCTGATCTTCATACTTCTGGATTTCTTTCTCAACCTTCCGTAAATCACGGTCTTTTTCCTGCATGAATACAGCAAAACATGCACTTACTGAACTTGAGGATTAGGATCACAAAGGGGCATCCTATTGAAGTGCAAATTCCACAGACCCCTGACACAAACGCTGATGTGTCCTATGACAGCAAGTTGCAAGTAAAATGTCATCTGAGGGACAGACACGGCTAGTAGTCTGTTAGTCCAAGACTAGTAACACTTTGGAGGGACTAGTCAGTTTCTCCCAAAATCTAATTATTTTTCATTAGCCACTTGTGTGAAATTAGCTGCAGATTACCAAAGGAGTTTACCCCTTCTCCATATCCTACAATAAAACACTGCAGGGATAATAAACCATTATGTACAGCCCCTTCAAGGATGTTCAAAAAATCTACAGGCTTTACAAATATTGACCCATATTTAGATAACAATGACTACTTAAATACTCGGCAAAGTCAGATAATTTCATTTCGTTAACAAGGGGGTTTAGTTTGATATCTCTCGGATTTTCTCATAATTTTCACATCCATTATCTGAACTTTTTTCTCACAATACTGATTGTCATATCTCTCCCACTTTGGAGTGTGATTGTTTATCTACGTTGCCCAGCTACGTCTATGGGGAACAACCTGCACACTTCCCTCTAAAGAAAAACACCATCCAATTTATGACACATGTTCGAATCTCCAGAAAGGATGTCATGATAAAACACTGTTTTATGGTGAAATGAACCAAGCTTCGTTCTTCTTTGTTCTTTGCGATATATCAATAGCTATCTTTTATATGATCATAATATCTATTTGGTAAATTGGTAAAATACAGTATTCCAGAAAATGTCTGTAATGTTATTTTAAGTTTCAAATTGTAAACTTCAGCATTCCAACTTCAACTTGATGATATCAATGGTAGATATCAAACTACTGACTTACTTATGTTCATCCAAAATGTAAGAGACATCTATCTCACCCTAAGCTTCAGCTTGAGGTCGTCTATCACAGCACTCGTCTCAGCCTTCTTATCATCCACATGCTTCTGAACATCCTTGTCATGAGAGCTCTTCAGATCCACGATACCCTGACGCTTCTCTACAAAACACAGGAACAAGGGAGACAGTGTTACAGGATCTCTTGTTTATGACTCTACAGTAGACGAGAGTTCAGGAAATGTTTGGGAATATTCTCTACATGTCTACATGTGTATGATATTTATTGGCATACAGACAAACATGTCCTGCTCTGGCCTCACCATGAAATATTGGAATACACATGTATTCTGTAAAGATGACAAATACGAGCACACCTCTGACTAAAGATGACTATTTTCAAAATAGTATTTTGGTCCTCAGCAAATGTTGAGTGGTTCTAGTATATTATCCTGCTTGAGAAAAATAAAATATATTTGCCAGCACAATTTCATGCACTGATTCCTGTATTCATACTCCACAGAGATCTGTACTCAAGCAGAGGTTGTAAAATATCGCACAGCTCACCATCAAGTATTCTCAACGTTCATATGATCCCTAAAACAGTGACAACCGATGGGTGTCAGTGGTGAGCAAGGGTGATGTGAAATAGGGTGTAACGTCACACTGAAGATTATTGCACGTATATAGCGTACTGCATGTACGTGTGTGTGGCGACTTGTACTAGTCCTGACTAATGCCGGTTTTATAGTTGCTAGCCAACTGAGATACCGATCCGCGGTTTAACATGTTTACCCCACACAGATACAGAATACAGAACAGCCGACTAGTATTTGTTTCATCCCCTTAATGCTGCGCTCCAGGCAGAGTATCAATAAGTGCCATCTTTTAAGGTCTTTAGAATGACAGGAACCACCGACCTTCCTCTCTCCATTTGACCATGGGGGTAAGGGGAGGAAGTTGGGGAAGGGTGGTCACAGGAAGAGGAAGTATGATTCATCAAGTGACTTGTGGACTGGCAGGCACGTCTTCTCATTCCCACCCACTCTGATAATGTTCCAGTGTTGTAGACAAAAGGAGTTACCTGCAAGGGAGCGTTCCAGGTCCTTAATCTCAAGGTTGTTCTCTTTGATGATGATGTCCTTCTGATTCTTCTCGGATGTCAGTTTGTCCACCTGTCGCTTCACCTCATCTCTCTCCACCTCGGCCTTGGTCAACGACTTCATAACATCCCTCAACTCCCGACTTGAGTCTCCTCGCTGATCCAGCATCTTTCGGTACCGCTCCGTCATCTTATCTAGCTCTGTGGGGATAGTATATGACAAACTATAATAAGCATGATGCCACACTGAAGTTGAGTGGTAAACCAAATGCACATTTAGGACAAGTGTGAGTTAGTTGGCTTGAACAGTATTTCAGTTATATCACAGCGTGTCAGCTTAATATGGGAGGAAAGCCTGAAGTGATGCAGGTCTCAAATGTTTACCACCTGTGTGAAACCAACAAGCACTTGTAAGGTGCTGACAAACCCAGAACCAATCTGGGTGATCTGAACAGCGAATTGTGTCACCACCTGTGCCATACTGATCACACAACCTGATCTTGCATGAATCTTGTTGTCCAATATATTGTTATTGGACAGGACTGTTTCTCATTATTCTTGAAGAACGGGTGAAGCTGAGGACAGTATTTTATGGGTCATTGAGCATTTACAACTTGTCTGACTTATTTTGTGTCATAACAAGGCTGGGTGTAAATGAGATCCCTCCAACTGGAATTATTATTTATTCCACTTCTGAACTGAAAATGGGTCACAACTATCACGACTGACAAATCTTCACCCAATTGAAAGAGATGGGATGAGTGTCTACTGTGAACATACCCTCTGATAGTGTCTTGATCTCAGCATCCTTGTTGTTGAGTACCTTGTCCTGGGCGGCCATCGTCTCCTCCTGGTCCGTCAGCGCCACCTTCAGCTGCTCTATCACATGCTCATTGGCCCGGGCATCTGCAGCAATAGTAATAAGGGCATCATGAATTCATCTTTAGATTTTCATCCCAGCCCACCTCAATACCAAACACTCCGCCTCATTTATCAAGAAAACTACAATGTGTGTCCCTTCTTTCTTTGATGAGTGAGTGAGTGAGTGAGTGAGTGAGTGAGTGAGTTGGGTTTAACGCCGCTTTTAACAGTATTCCAGTTATATCGCGGCGTGTAAGCTTAATGTGGGAGAAAAGCCCGAAGTGATGCAGGTCTCAGTCGTTAATCACTTCGGTGAAACCCACGAGCACGGGTATGGTGCTGACAAACCTAGAAACATAATCGGGGCGAACCGGGATTCGAACCCACAATCATAGGTTTCTGGCGTGCCCAAGGGACGCAACTCTGCACAGCGAATTTCTTTGATGAAATTTACCATATACATGTACGTAGTCCAAACCAAACTTCCACTTCTTGTTTGGTTTGTTTGTTGTTAACACTGCACTCAGCAATATGCCAGCTATATGACCCTGATGACAGGGGTCTGTAACTAACTGAGTCTCTGACCAATCAATTACCAAACGTTCATGGATGATGTGAATCACTTCCCTTGACACTTAATCTACATAGAGTGAGTGAGTGGGTGAGATGGGTTTAACGACGCTTTTAACAGTATTACAGTTACATCGTGGCGTGTCAGCTTAATGTTGGAGGAAAGCCCGAAGTGATGCAGGTCTCAGAAGTTTATCACTTTGGTGAAACCCACGAGCATGGTGCTGACAAACCTAGAAGCATAATCAGGGCGAACCGGGATTCGAACCTACAATCATAGGTTTCTGGCGTGCCCAAAGGGACACAACTTTGCACAGAGAATCAGGGCACCTTAGACGACTGGGCCACCCGTGCTACACAGACACCTTGAACATTGTTTTAAAAAAAAAAATGAAAAAGAAAAAGGCTCCCACCATGTTTTGATAATTCTAACTTTTAATTTATTGCCAACCATAATAGTTTCTTGTTAGAAATTACAATGATTGTAAAACCTGTTATCTGGGCCTTTAATGAAATAAACATTGGTATGTTAGTGATATCACTGCAAAAAGAATATTGTATCCCTAACACCAGTCAAAGAACATGGGGAATCACACAACTGGCACAATACACACCTCGAAGCACCACATCAAACTTCTCTCTCTCAGCATCTTGGCCTCTCCTCAGGTCCTTCAAGGACAAACTTCTGACCTCAAGCTTCTCCGTCTTCCGTCCAAGGTCAAGCTTCAGCTGCTTGATCTCCTCCTTGAGGTCACTCGTGGTCGTCTGCTCTCGTGACAGCTTCTCATTCTCTCTCTAAAGAACAATCATAGGAGTGAGTGAATGTTCGTTTTATGATGCAGTGTGCAATATTCCGGCAGGATCAGGGCTTGTTAATAATCATATTTGGGCCAGGCTTACTAATGGTGGATAGCATGAGCAACCACCCACGCCATTGGGGCTGATGGAGAGACACATCCATGTCACATTCTATTACTATTTGATCCTCTTTAGTTGTCTCTTCAGCGACAGAAACAGTTTCAGTCCAGAAGTCCATATTATGATAACATACAGCAAAACCTTTAAAACTGCAGTTTGGCAAGGTCAAAAGGACAGGTACCAGTTTTAATTGCTGCTTTTACAATACAAAAAGCATGGGTACCGAGAACCAAATCTGCCCCTGGATGCCGACACATTGCAAACACAGCCAGGGTGGAGAGAGACATGCCTTCAATAACCTGAGATCCTGCTCAACTCTCACAGACCACTCACCTTCATCATGGCGACCATGTCCTGAGCCTCCAGAAGGGTCTGCTGAGTAGATGTCAGTTGTTCCTCCAGCTCAGAGATCTTCTCAATGTTCTCCTTCATGGAGTTGCTAGCCTGCTGCAGCTGTTGGCGGAGATTCCTCTCTCGATCCTGACTCTACACACAACATTGATAAATACCTATAGAATACTTCAAAGTAAAATCTTTTTTAATTCCCATACTTCTTAATACAGGGAAAACATGTCTTATGTGATTGAAAAATAAGACCAGACCAAGAGCATATGGGCTGATGCCATGTTCAGCTTCCACAGACATCTACAGGATTTCAGATTGGTAAATTCTGAATGTCATCCAAAATGGCCTGAAGATTTTTTTTCAATAGCCTATCAAAAGTTCATAACATCATGAAAATGTCCAATTGCCATTTGTTCCTAGCAAAATCACTGCATCTTGTATCTTGTGTATATTCAGTGAACTTCTTTCTGTTCGACCAGTATTTTATAAAAGGACCAATAACTCATGCACATGTGCAACTAAACATCAACATTCGCATTCTATCACACTCTTCCATCTATATGACAATGGCCTGTAAATAATCGAGTATGGACCAGGCAAACCAGTTACTGATTTCAAAAGCAATGTCCCACACCATCAGGGTATGATAACACGCAATCAACCAAATCATTGAGCCTGACCATCTGAGCCTCCCTCAAACACTCACCGTACTTTCCACACTTATACAAAGCTTATTTTACATGTCACTAATATAATATGGAAAAAGAGCCAACTATCATTTCCTTTAAGAATACTGACTGAAAGTTATGAAATGTATATGTAGCATTACCCTTTGTAGTTCATCGTGGACCAATGAGTCAGTCGATGCTGTTGAAGAAGATGACATCCTCTCTCGGGAACTGTTTTCCAGAGACTTGTCAAGATTGTGAAGTTCTTGCTTTTTCTTGGTAAGTTCACAACTAATGTTCTTCACCTCTGCTTCAAGAGTCACAACCTTAGACTGACATTCACTAAACTCATGCACACACTGTGCATGTTTATTTTGCAATGCCTCATATTTATTTTCAGAGTCCTCTAACCTCCTAACCAGATCTCTGTCAGTTGTCTTAGTTGGACTTAACACAATATTCCCTCCTTGACTCCGCTCAATTTGTCTCTTCAACCCTTTGATCTCGTACTTGGCGTTCACCAACGCACACTCAACCTCAATCTTCTCCTTTCTGAGCCTGCGAGCACTACCAGGGGCAAGGTCATCATCTGTTTTCATGGATCCCACCAGATGCTGCATCTCCTGGTTCTTCTTGCGTTCTTCATCAAGTTCCATCAGAATATCAGAAGATGTTTGGTCATTTGTGACAGTCTTTGTTGTGGAGTTCGAACACACTGAGTCACATTTGTCTCTGACTTGACTACTTAGTCTTAGAACTTCCTTTTCCAGACTAGCTACCTTCTCCTTAACTGAAGCTAGCTCCATCTTTAACTGCTCGCCCTTCTCTTTAGCAGACTGTAACTCATTCTGTAGCTGCTCGTTTCTGACTTCCATTGACTTCATTTTCTCTTCCAGACCATTCTTCTCCAACCTAACCGCTCTCAAGTCTTTCTCACAAATTTGAAGGGTTTCTTTCAATTGGTCACACTCTTTTTTTTCCTTTTGAATTTCTTCCTCAGCCACCTTCATCTCTTCATCCAGAGTCTGTTTCCCATTCTGTGACTGTTCCACCTCATCCTGGAGTTGTTTCAAGTCGACCTCCATTACCTTCTTCTTTTCCTCAGCATCCTTCAGAGCACTTTGTTTCTCAATCAGGTCAGTTTGCACTTCCTTCAGGGCACTTTGTTTCTCCATCAGGCAGTTCTCCGCTTCCACTCTAGCTGTCTCTGCGCTTTTCAGGTCAACTTGGCATTGTTTGAGGGCCGTTTCTGTTTCACCCCTTGTTTTCTCAGATCCTTTCAGGTCATCTTGACACTGTTTTAAGCGAGCTTTCATCTCTTCCTGTTCTTCCTCTGCATTATGCAGGTCATCCTTATACTTCAAGTGAAGAGTCTTCTCCATGTGTAAAGCTGACTTAAGTTCTGCAATGTCTATCGATGCCTCACTGAGCTGGGACAGCTTTGCATCATTTGATATGATTTGTTCCTGCATGTTTTTATAGGACTGACGAACCAGTTCCAGTTCATGTTCTTTAGCGCTCAGTTCAGTCTGAAGTTCGGATATTTGTATCTTCATATCCTTGAGTTGCTGCTTTGACTTTTCTTCATGACTCACCATTGTTTCAGACATGGAAAAGATTTCCTCATCCTTCTGACTCAGAGCCTCCTTGGCCTCAAGTAGTCTCTTCTCTAGCACTGATGTCTCGGCAGTCTTCTCATCCAGACACTTCTGAATAGTCCTGATTTGCTCACCTTGAGCCTTCACAGCATCTTGTATGTCTAAAGTTTGGTGTTCCATTTCCTCCACAACCTTCTCTCTGTCCCCGAGTTGTTGCCGAGCATCGTCTAATTCACCTCTCACTTGCAACAGAGTTGCTTCATGTTCAGCATCTTTCAACTCTTGTGATGACTTCATTTCTTTGAGGGATGAAGTTAGATCCTTATTCTCATTTGCCATCTTCTGAAGTTGTCCCTTCAGTTCTGACACTTCTGTCTCTGATGAATCAGTCTTCTTTTTCAAATCCTCTATCACATTTTCTCTTGACTCCAGGTCCGCCTTTAGGTTTACCATCATGTCCTCAACATTCTGACAACTAGCACTTCTTTCAACTGTGTCTTTCTTCAAAGCTTCAATCTCTGCTACAAGTTCACTTATCTTGTCCACTTTGCTTTTCAGTTCTCCATCCTTCTGTGTCATAATTCCACTGACCTCTTCCCTCTGAGCTGCCAGCATGTCTTCAGTCTTTTGAGCATCTTTCTCTTTCTGCATGTTCAACTCATTAAGTTCTTTTTTCATGGCAGACAACTGATTTTGCATACGATTTAGCTCCTGGTCTTTTTCAGAAATTACCTGTTCCAACTGTTTCCGCTGAGCAATTAGTTTATTCTGCTTTTCCTCCTCCATGTCCGACAACTTCTGCACAAGCATCTTCTCTTGCTTATCTGTGGAGGCATTCAGCATCTGCTTCAGTTCGGAGTTCACCATTTCAAGTTCCTCAACAGACTGCTCCAGCTTTTCAATCTCTTCAATTTTCTGCTTTAATTCATGATCCAATTCCTTGACTTTCTCAACCATAGATTCCTTCCCTTCCACATGGCCAACAATTAGTGAGTCCTTTGCTGCAACAACTTCAAGTAAGTTTTCCTTCTCCAAAGATAACGAGTCTTTCTGCTCTGTTACTGTTTGAAGTTTTGATTTAACTACTTCCAGAGAGCTAGTAAGCTGTATCACACTTTCTTTCTTCTCTTTCATTTCCTGGACAAGTTCCTCTTTCTCCATTTTCACATTTACAGAGCTTTCAGTAAGTTCCTTCATCATGTCTTCCTTCTCCTTCAGAGTTGTTTTTAGCTCCGCCTTCAGCTCCGTCACAATGATCTTCGTCTCCACATGATGACCACACTCCACCTCCAGCTTCTTCTCAAGGTCAGACACTGATTCATGTGCAATGTCCAGAGTCTGGGTCAACTCACACACGGCCAAGCTGTTCTTGTCCAGCTCATCCTGCAGGTCTTTGATCTGACGAAGAAGATGGTTCTTGAAGCCCTGATCATCTTCTGTTTTCTTCTGTGGTGTCTTTTTGGGTGTCTTCCTTGGAGACTTCTGTGGTGATAATCCTCTGGATTCTCGGAGTTGTGCCTTCAGTTCAGTCATCTGGGCTTTATATGAGGCTATTTCTGCATTGTAACCATGGATGAGTGCCTGGTCACGTTTAGTGGCATCGTCTTCCTCCCTCTTCAGTCTTGCCTTCAATGTGTCAACTTCGGCATCTTTCTTGGCCAGAAGGACACTGATATCTGATTCATGGCTACCACCTTCAGAGGTGCTGGAGTCAAGCAGAGCCTGTAGTTCTTCAACTTTCTTCACAAGCTCATCATTTTCACCTGTAACATGAATCAAGTCTGCTATTTGTAGGACAAAAAAAATACACAATATTTCACAGGTTGTATTTCAAACATATTAATACCTCCCTGAAGAAGTAAGCAATTATCATAATTAGTGCAGGGTTGATAGGTTTATGTTTCTAATGCAGAAATATTAAATAGAAATTCTTATGCAATGACCACTAAAAGATGGATGAACTTATATTACTGGGACTATTAGTTTGCTGGTTCCTGAAAAATACAGTAAAAGAATGTAGTGTCAAAGTTGAAGGGATACTTCGAGTTATCCAAGGTTCGAGACAACCAAATATGAGTAAAGAAGGAATACCAGTAGTCTGATCTGTGTGCAGAGGGCAATATTCATCATCGTTTCTTTTTCCCCCACTCAGTTATATTCCAGTTACATGGCAGCGGTCTGTAAATAATCAAGTCTGGACCAGACAATCCAGTAATTGATATTGTGAACAACAATCCTCACAATCAACCAAGACACCAGACTTCTCGATCGATTTATTTGACTCATGAATACAAGTTACAATCAGAATGATTATTATTGCTGGGGACCTATTTCAACCTGGAAGCCCTACGGAATATTCATCATACAGACTTCTTCCAATGTCGTCACCAAAGGGTTGGACCTATTCTAATCTGTGAGCTAAAGGAAATACGTGAAGAGCATTCTTTGACTAACATCTCAACTTCCCAAGGGGACCATGGGTGTATGTTTTTGGTTATGTATGTTGAACCACAGCAGGAGGCTTTGATGCAGTGGCTCATATAATTTACTCCAACAAAAAACACTTTACACAACAGTGCCACCACAGTACCATTACCTCCAGATTTGCACAGACAACTGGATTCACGTATTTTGAGCCAGCAGTGAAATGTGCCATTTGCACAAACCTGTTCACCTTATACAAGGACATTCATGTTTCTGTGGAACTGTAGTACTTTCTTTTAGGCATTTGTTCTTAAAAATGTCCCTTTATATATATTAACGTTGTGTCACACGTTGCATCAGGCTTGGGAGGCAAGGTACTGTTACTTCCACATTTTATTATGGACAGTTGACAGCATCTTCCTGAGGCAAGAGAGTTATCAGACTGGGCACCAACATTTTGTTTGAAGCAAATGCAAGTTAACTCTCTTGCCTCGGGAAGAAGGTTGACAGTGAAAAGAACTTCAGTTGAAAAGGATTTGATAGTGTGATGACAGCAAACACACAACATTTATGTATTTGCAAGATTTATGGCGAGTTGTGGTTTTCTGTATAACTGAGTGAGTGAGATGGGTTTAACGCCGCTATTAACAGTATTCCAGTATATCGCAGCTTGGCAGCTTAATGTGGGAGGAAACCAACAAGCACGGGTATGGTGCTGACAAACCTAGAAACATAATCGGGGCGAACCGGGATTCGAACCCACAATCATAGGTTTCTGGCATGCCCAAGGGATGTAACTCTGCACAGCGAATCGCGGCGCCTAAGACGACTGGGTCACCCATGCCCCTATAGTGTAGAAATGGAATGTATGGAACCTAAAGCGGGTTCTGGTGCACCTAGGTGATGCTACACCTTTGGGCCTCCCTCAAGTAAATGAAGTCCTGCACAGTCCTCTTCCTGAGGGAAGGTAGTTAAATGACAATTCCAGTTTCCACCCTTGCTGAACTGGGCTGGACTTTAACGTTCCCTTAAGGCGCCACCAGTGGCTATTATGAGTTATGTCCCTCCTATGGACCAAGAAGATTCCACTTGCATTTGCTTCAAACAGAATGGCGCCAACCAGTGCATGTGGATTGCATTTGAGCACCTTGATAACAAACACGAACAGATTCCAGCATGGCAGTTGGCTATTCCTATTTCCTTATGTGATTTTGATGGGACTATGCCTTAACTGGTTAGTCAAGAGTTAGTTTAGTTTCAGAGATGGAATTGTCTCGAGTTGTATGAAAGCTGTGGTTACATACTTCTGATTTTTGAAAATTGAATGACGGCATTTAAATGGATGTAATGTTATCTTCAAACTGTCAGACAATCTGTCCTCTGTGGGATACATATATCTGGAAGGTCATACGATAATGTTTAAATCTAGGGCCAGATTGACCGACCCTGGTCAGTTAGTGCGAAAATATATATAAAAGACACTTCAGATTATGAATGTTTGCTATGTCAGAGTTGAGAGCTTTAAGTATGTCTTGTAGGTATAGTAGGATATGCACAATTGTTTTATAGATTTGATTTTTATGACATATTTCATGGTTATAAACCATTATTTTTTTAGATCATGTAGGGTAATTAAGAAATGTGTGTTTTTAAACTGAAAGAAGATGATATGTTTGTAAATATGTGAGTTGCGAGTCACACAATCTGAATCATAGTCATTGGGCTTATTAATGCTTTATGAGAAAACAGAAATTACATATCAAGGACCGCCTCTGTGGTCTAGTGGTAGTGCGTCCACCTGGAGTGCAGAAGGTCCAAGGTTCGATACACTGTCGCGTCATACCAAAAGACATCAAAATATGGTACTTGTTGTTACCCTGCCTGATGCTCGGCATTAAGGGGCTAATACAAGGACTGGTCGGCTCGGAGTTTGTATTCATGTTAAACTGCAGCACACACTCAGGTACTCTCACTCACTCTCTCACATCGCTATGTCAGTGCAATAATCTTGGACGCGACATTGAACCCCATTTCACCTCACCTCACATACCCAATACAAGTATTTTGTATCAACGGAGATCAGAACATCCTACATACTACACAGAAATAGTACAACGGACAGACAGAAAGCTGCAGTTGTCTCCCCTGCATGACAATTCACATCAACCTGGGAACTCCACTTATGAACTAACAAATTTAGCCTTGAATATTTTTCTATCTTGTTCAAACATGCTTCAACTTTCAAACATGAATAATTAATATCACTGCAAATTGCAACATGGAATTTAAAATTACAAAATAATTACATACAATTTGTTCACATATTGACAATTGTCTGAATCATTACAAAAGAAATGTGTTTCAATATTACAGTACATATCTACTTCATATTTTGAAAGTTGACTACGTGAAACCAGGCTGTGGAGTGTCCCGATTGGTGAATTACCTGCAATGGAAACAACCGTGGCCGCGGCCATTAGTTACAGCTTTCATACTTTGTACTGTCCACAGTCTGGAATAGAAAACAAACTCTCATCTTTAGTTCATCACATATGGAAGTGTTTATTTTAGAATCCATATATATCATACAAAATAATTTACACATCTATATTTACTTTAATATACACTCGCCAACCTTAAAGTCACACCAAACCATTGATATATCCGTCTTCGGACACACTGAGAGGTGACAGGAGAGGGAGTTTGGAGAGGGAAAGAAAGAAGAAAGTAACGGAGGGACAACAGGGGTAGGGGAGGGAGAGAGAAAGAGGAGGAAGAATAGAGGGGAGTTTATTCCAACTGAAATGAGGAAAAAGGAGAAATAGTTAGCCTTTCACAACAAAACTTGCCAACAACAATAGTTTTAACTCAGCATTGCAATGAAAATTCCCAGCTGAAGTATGTGACTTTCAAGTTGATGAGTGTATGATATACTAGAGCAAACATTCACAGCAGTAATGCCATAGATATAATATCACATTGAGGATGAAACAATAGTACTGTCAACTCAAGTTGTCCTCTGAGAAGCTAGAATGCCCAGCTCAAATAACCTGACAAAATCCCATGAAAAGAACTACTCTCCAAGGAGTCCAACAGGATATAACCCTTGACAAAACACCCTGGCAATAGGGGCATCATGTTACACCTACATTATGATACGATACACCTACATTATGATACGATACACCTACATTATGATACGATACACCTACATTATGATACGATACACCTACATTATGATACGATACACCTACATTATGATACGATACAATAGGTTTTGCAATTCTTGAGTCATGGTACAATATGTACTGCGATTTATTTTGCATAAAGTTCTCAATGATGCCTTGGCATGGATGACAAGCTATTACCAGTTTGTGTTAATTTTTAATGAATATTTCATCAAGGATCGTTCTTATAGTATTATGCAGATTCAGCATTATATTTTGTGATAGGCAGTAATGAAGAGACTCAGCAGTTATCATCCTGGGTTATCGCAAAACTTTGTAATATTCCGTTTTGGAATTTGATACAGAATAAAACCATGCATTGATACAAGGGTATCCTGCATCGTATCATATATTGTCAGGTGTAAATTTGTTATTCATCAATACATTAGTGAATCACAATAACCCCACTATGGAATGTATTGCACAAGGATTGCAAGGCTTTTTTAGCTTTGATTAATGAACTACAATACATTTTATAACAAACACATTTAACGTTGTAGCTAGCATATTTATCACGGTTACACTAAGCATAGTGAATATTCGTTGTAACACTTCTATAACCCTTCAAAAGCAGTTGGCGTGTACTGAAAAATCTTACATAACCATAAATGTTGAATTGTGTTTAATATCAAGTCATCTCCCTTCAGCCAATATGTCCTGAGGCACATTACCTTGGGAAATATATTCTGACGATGTAAATATGTACAAGCGTCAGTTTTTGCTTGTACAACCAGCATATATATTTTTGGTACCTTTTCAAGTTATCTAAAATTGTAAATAAATATGATAAATACAGCACTATCCTATAATATTCTTTGGTCAATAAAAATCCTCTAATCTCAATGAACTAAGACCACAATCTAATACTTTTCTAGACTCAAGAGGCCACCGATAGTCTAGGAGTGAGTGAGTGAGTTTGGTTTTACACCGCTTTTAGCAATATTCCAGCAATATCACGGCGGGGGACACCAGAAATGGGCTTCACACATTGTACCCATGTCGGGATTCGAACCCGGGTCTTCGGCGTGACGAGCGAACACTTTAACTACTAGGCTAGCCGACCGCCCCTCGATAGTCTAGGAAATGAAGACTTCCAGCTGTTGCAGTCTTTGATATATACCGGTATTGAATGATGGCCTGTGTTATGTCTGTGTACTATTAAAGACTAAAGAAAGAAAAATATCAAACTGTTCCCACACACAGACACCAGTGATATGACTGCCTTCACTATATGCTGAGAGTCACTGGCCAGTGCAAGCCGATCAGTAAACACCATAGAATGTATGGTAACCAAGCTAAGGCAACTACCTTAGTCCTTCATTTCTAAAGTCACCAGCTTGGACATCATCTCTGTTGATTCATATAATTGTCAATGCAGATGACTGAGTATAATTAGTTTGCAGGGTTTGTACAGAATTCCAGTCATAAGATGCAAGGCCTGTTATATGAAAATGTGGCAAGTTTCAGATCCTTCCAGTCAATTCATAATGGTAAACATGGAAGGGGTCAACATTGTGGTTACTTTCTCAAACAATGAAATGGTGTATCAAATGTTGCATAATTTACTCGAGGTGGGGACTTAAGGCCTTTCAAGGCACAAAATCAATTTTGAAGACCACATCAAGACATAATCTCAACTCAATCCTTTCCAAGCAATCTCAAAATTCAAGGCCCAGTTAAACTTGTAAGAACCCTGATAACACAACATTACAAAACTACATAAAAAACATATTCCTTCAAAGTTCTGGGACTAGTGAAAACATTTGGATTTTTCAACAGGACAAACATATATTGCTGGCATCTTTGTTTGTATGCTTGTTTCAGAAAAACATTCATTCTCATACTATTTTCTCTCCTGAATCAAAGCATATTACCCAAAACATTTTATGAAAATACATCTGTAAAAACTAGGTGTGTTTGAATGAGGTTACAAAGGTTTGTGACACGGCATGGATATACTGGACATCAGTGAGCACCTGTTAGCAACAAGTTCTGAAATGCCTGGCAACATGATTCAAACTTATACAAAGTTATACAAGTGCTTGACAAACCCAAATTCCACTTAAACCAGGCTGAACACTGATTCTTAGATTTCATGGACCTATCTGCGAATGGGAACACTGCATGTCCTATTGTGCAATTGTGATGCATCCACACAAGAAATAGTAGCATCCCTCAATTTTCCATACCCAGCTGAAAAAGGACTAGAATTTTAACCTGGTTCTGAGATTGTATTTCTGTTTGCAACCTGCGCCCTGACCAGACTTTCTCCTGAGTTTGCTACCGAGACTAATTCGCTTCTTCGTAACCTTCTCTTTCTCCTCCTTAACCTTCACCTCTTTCACTTTCTCCTCCTTATCTCTCCTAAACCTTCTACGAAAAAACGAATTCTCCTTCTCCTTTTTCTTAACCACTACCGCCCCATCTTTCTGTCCATCTTTAGTAGGAGTTGTCTTAAGTCGCAGAAGGCTAGTCTTAGTGTGTCGCGCCATCAGTTTCTGGATGGGCGTCACCATGACCCTGAGGACACGGTTCTGGTCCTGTTTGATGACATAGTCTGGTAACATTGACCTAGACTTTGGAGATATTGATCCCTCGGAGAAATCGTCGAGGGAGTCGTCATAACTGTATTGGGGATGAGGGGGAACAAGCTGTACTGGAGCCAGACTGCTACCTTGTATCTGGCTGTGTTCATCGACAAGGGTGGTGATTCTCTCATTCTTGCGTTGTAGTCGCAACTCCGTGTCTTCCATGGCCTGTTTGCTATCTTGTAGAGCCTGCTGCAACTTCTCTATGATGTCAGCCTGCAAACATTGGAACAGTGTTTTCAAGTTAAACAAGATGTTTGATTATATTGAGAATCTCACCCTTGTGTCTTTCGATATCAACACGAGTCAACAAAAGTTTCAAACTCTGTGGGTTACTGAGGATTTTCAACTTTTATCGACAAGTGTTGATATATTTGATATCAAAAGACACAAGGGTGAGATTCTATTTATATCCTTTTCACTTGTAAACAGTAATAACCAGTGTCTCAAGTGTTCAGCTGACCAGCCTCCGTAGCAGAGAGATTAGTGACGTAATTTGATCCCCACATCATGGTAACTGATGATATCACATTGGACAGCAACACATTGTGATGCAATTTCATTGTAGGGATATCTCCATCAATGATCTTACCAAAGAAATATCTCCAGTTTGGGATGAAAAATTTGTTTATTGCAACACGATTATCTGTACAGAATTTCATTAACAAAATAAAGGCCTTTTCAATGTTCAGGCTGTCTCCTAAAACTTCAAGGCCATGCAAATGAAACAGTTTATTACATCTACAGTAAGCTTACTGACATTGTGCACTTTATTTGTAAGATTTGGGTAAACTGGACTTTCATGCTTTCTGAAGCAGGTGATCATTGAAATTTGGAATAGGATAGATTTAGTAGATTTTAAAGGTTATTTTCCTTTAAACTATGATACATATATTGTTTGTCGTATGTGAGTTGTTTTATATCGTAATCCCTAATATCCAGCCACAAAACCAAAGATGATGGTCTGTAAATAATTTGAGTCTGGACCAGACAAGGTAGTGACTGACAACTATTGACATGGAACGATGACACAAGGAACCAAGTTTGTGAGCCAAGGTATTTAGCCCAATCCATTAAGCAGCCACTTAGCTTGCTGGGTATCTGGTCTCATCCAGAATCGCCACAAAGATTTGAGCGAGTGAGTGAGTGAGTTGGGTATAACGCTTATTGGTGCTGACAAACCTAGAAACATAATTGGGGAGAACCGGGATTCGAACCCACAATCATAGGTTTCTGGCGTGCCCAAGGGACGCTACTCCGCACAGCGAATCGCGGCGCCCTAGACGACTGCGCCACCCGTGCCCCCCACAGAGAATTGATTTGTAAGGGGATCTACATATGGTATGCATATACAGCTATATAACAAAATGTACCAGCTGCATCACAGCAAGGGCAATGATCAAGGTAAAGTGTTACACAATCAACAAAGTCACAGATTGTAACCACCAAATGCCCATATTTGCCAGCTGATACAATAAGCATGGGTCATGTTGTCGCCTGGTTTCCCTACTGGATGCAATATAGAGAAGACTATGACCTATTAATTAATGAACTATCTAGCAGGGATTTATTCGGAAAGGAACGGGCTAAAATTCTTAGTCTTGCATCAGTGTATTGAAACTAAGATGTTCTATTAAAATACCTATGCATCTTTAAAAATCCCTTTCAAAATGTTATTGAATTTGTCTGCCACTGGCAGATAGTTTTAAATCCAACAGTCTACTAGTATCTGGTCACCTGCTGACTAATCTTGTCCTCATCCTCGACCAGGGCCATCTTCAGCTTGTCAATCTCAGCCTCCTTCTGCTGGAAAGTCTCGCCAGCCTCTGTCAGCATCTCGTTCAGCTCGGTTATCTCATGCTCCTGTTATGTGCACAGTTGCAAATGAATTAGAACATAAACATTATATGTTTTCCAATTTGCAACCCGTCCTGACAACTTTTCACCAGTCCCGATTTCGAAATACTGATTATAAACTCACACTTTTTGACCACATGCAATACCTTATTGAAGAGGTGAGGTGAGGTCAAATGGGGTTTAACATTGCATTCAAGATTATTGCACTTATATACTGCTTGTACTAGTCCTGACAAATGCCGATTTTATAGTGCTGGCCCACTGAGATACCATGTCGCATTTCAAAATGAATACCCTACTCAGACACAGTATACTCCAAGCCGACCAGTCCTGTTTTAGCCCCATAATGCCAAGTGCCAGGCAGGGTAACAAGTACCATCTTTTGAGGTCTGTTGGAATCGAGGGATCGAACTCCCAACCTCCCACTTGTTTATTGGGCCACCGTTTATGGGAGCCCTTCAATCACATATTTTAAGTCAGTCTGTGACATATGAAGTGATGAAACACAGTAAAAACCAAACTGTCAAATACACAAAACAATGACAAATCCCACCGGCCCCTACATTAGCAAAAGACACCATTTCGGCCCCTGGTTAATACATGTACTAAGTTTCAATGAAAAAGATTTCACCGTTTTTATGTTATGCCCAGAAAAAGTAATACAGACAGACAGACCAGATGATGACTATATCATAACCCCCTGGCATTATATGTGGGTGGGATGTAAAGTTGAAGACCATTTTACAACAGGTCGCATATTGCTTATGGTGTAACCCCATTGGGTGACGTCATAGGACTGTATGACTTTGTCTGTGGATGTCACCTGGGGATTACCCTTTAACCCCTATTTTCATGCTTGGGACCCCAAATGTTATTCCTGTGTTCCCAGGACATAGCGCCAGGTTAACCTGCAATAGTACCTGCTTCTTCTGGATCTCCTTTGCTGCCTGCAGCTGCTGGCTGAGAGTCTCCAGCAGAACTGATTGTCCAACATCCGAGCTTGAAGCCAACGCCTGACAATACAAGCATTTGTTCTATTACACATTATATTATTGATATCATTGTATTCAGTATTTTGTATCATTCATGTAACTTAAGATCTTCATGTTGATTCATGGACTTGTTCATACTTTTAGCCTTTTTCACTTATTTGAAAATATTGTAAGTGTTAGGGAGACAAAGACAAGATGTCAGCTATCTATACATGTCTGACAATTATCATAGCAATATTTCAAGGTTTTACACAACTATAAAATTCAACATTTCCAGTCCTGCAACTCCGAGACCGACCTGTTTGAGTTGGTCCTGCAACTCCTCAATGGTTCCTTTGGCAACATCTAAATCTTTCTGAAGAGAGTACTCCACACTCTCCCGTTTGTTCTGAAACACAACACATTTGATTTGCTAAAAATTGTGCACATTAACATAGAGAAATTATCATATATAAAATTTCTCACAGGTGAATGTTTTGGCCATGTTATGAAAAGTTAAACACTATTCATGATACTTTTATGCAAAACTGCTAACATGGTGAGTGTTTATCCCATGTGTTTCTGTACTATAGTGTAAATTTGATAGGGCAATAAAAACTTTTAACAAATGTTGATATATTTGACAACAAAAGACACGACAACATCTTTCTCCCAACTTTCTCTCTTTGTAAACAGTACTAAGTAGTGTCCTGTGGGTAAAATGTATAGCTCACCAGCTTCAGTGGCAGAAAGATTAGTGATGCCATTTCATTGTGACATCATTGTAACCGATCACATCAAAATGGTCTGCAAAGCATTATGATGCATTTTCATTCCAGCAATATCTCCAAGAAGATATCGCTTGATCTCACCCAAGGGATAACTCCTGTACAAAACAGTTTGGCATGAAAAATAACATGTTGTACGAATGTCAGGATTCAAACCTGAGTGAGTAGGTGAGTGAGTGAGTGATCTTATAAGTCTGGTGTACCTGTCTGAGCTGTTTCTGTAGCGCTGACACAGATTCCTTGGTGATGTCTAACTCATTCTGTACCGTCTGTAGCTCACTGACTGCCTTTGTCTGGAAACAGAGCCATACATGTTGCTATTATTATCATTATTATTGCAAAAATGAACAATTATAATAATCACGCGAAATGCATAGCAGGTCTTGATCTCATTAAAATCAAACCGTAGTTTTCACTACCGCTAAAGAAAGATCTGAGGATATCCCATTACAGGTCATGTCAGAATGACCTTCGCGAACTTTGACTGACCAATGAAATGACCAACAAGAAGTTGACATTAACCAATAAGAAAGCAACTTTCTCGATCTCTAGGGTTCTAGTTTCAAACTGGCAACTTCAGTTCCAGACTTCACTATTAATTACTTCTTCAAAGCTCTCAATTGGATGTCAGTACTTATTTGAAAAGTGTCTTCCGTTCATATGTTTATTCCATAAAAGCCAGAGATAGATGATGATTTTGACAGATTCAGTCATACAGCCTATAACTGTCGTTCGGAATACCCTGTGTTAACCTTTTCGAGGTTGCATGATCAGAAAACAAATCTTGACTGTCCCTTTCCTGACCTGGATAGCGAGACTGGATGAAAGGTCGTTCTGACATGATCTGTAATGAGATGTCCTCAGATCTTTGTTTGGCAGTAGCAAGTACAAAGATCTGATTTTAATTTCACTTCGGTGAGACCAACGATCAGTTCGTGCTGATAAACCATTGATCATGATCAAGGTTAGGCAAATATGGGATTCGAAATTAGAGGATAATGGTACGCCCAATAAAAGCAACTCTGCACAGCAGATAAGTTCCCCCCTCTCACACACCCCAAACCCCCCACCGACCTTCTCTGCCTTGATGTCCTGGATGAGTCGGGTCTTGTCGGCCAGGGCAAACTCACAGGCAGTTCTCTCCTTCGTCACACCCTCTTGAGACTTGCTCACTTTCATCACGTCATTCTTAAGGCGATGTATTTCACCTTTCAGTTTCTTTATTTCTTCGTCCTTCTCCTTAAAAAACAGACAGTGCAGTTGGGATATATTTCAGGGTTATTCTTGACACTGACTAATTGGAGCCGATGGATAGATGGATATAAGTTACCAATAACATATGTTGACAATTTGAGAGAGGGAGTAAGATTTTAACAGGATTTTACTTCCTCATTGGTGTGCCAGTTTAATCATATTTCCTCTACTAAACACTGGGACTCCAATAAAGGCCACTTTCTAATTGATGCTGGGCCATACCCTTTGTAAAAAAATTAGAAGCCAGGCCCATCATTTGATGAAATTAATTATCTCTGACACATTAAACATGAAATGATTACTCCTTTCACCTAAATAATGACTGTTTCATGCAAATGTACCCGTTGTATGACTAAAATTTGGGATTCGGTAAGGTGGAGAGTTGCCACTGGACCAGCATTAAACAGAATTGATACTGGGTCAACGGTCAGTGATAAATTAAAGGATGTCTGGATGTCTAATAGAGGAATTATGGCAGGAGGAAGGCCACAGAGCAGAAGGGTGAATCTGGTAGACAAACTTACAACCATCAGATCCTTGAACCACAACAAAACAGTGAGGTGAGGTGTTGTGGAATTGGGTTTAACGTCGCGTCCAAGATTATTGCACTTATATGCATGTCTGTGTGTGTGGCTGCTTGTACTAATCCGGACTGATGCCAATGTATAGTGCTAGCCAACTAGCACTCAAACCCTGGACCTTTCTCTCTCCGGGCGGACGCTCTACTACTAGACCACGGAGACTGTCACAAAACAGTGAATTGCAGCACCTTAGACCACTGGGCCACCTGTGTCCCTTGCATGACTGGAGTTCAGGGCAATAACTTTATTGCTGATACATACACTACAGTCCGTTTGCTGCAATATCGCACCAATGAACTTGTTTATTTTTCCTTACCAACTCATCACTATAATTTCAGATATTGTCATGAGGTCGAGAAAAAGTTTTCCTGTAATTGTTGGTGTTTTAATGCCCGTTGTTACAAGGGGGTCTGCACAAGAAACATAACAGCTGAAGGGCATTGAGGAACACAGGTGTAGTACAACATGCTAAATGAAAACTCAACTGAGCAAAACATACTGAGATTGAAAAAGTGGCTTGAGACCTTGTCTGACATGTGATTGAAGAATGACAAATAAGATGTGTCTGATAATAGAATATTGTATGCATGTTTGAAATAAAGCTTGATTGTTAAAAAGGGAAATATCACATGCCTGTTTTGTACAGCATTTTCACAATGAATTTTAAAACATCTCAACCTCATATACACATGTTTCATTTTCTATCGATGTATGACCTCATGGCACAGAGAATAGTGATGCACTGAATGTTGGGTGACTTGTTAAAACCCAACAAGAGAACACAGTTTTCAAGAAGTGCAGTCCGTACAGCACACTGCCTAAATATCTTAGATCTCCATATGTGGACTGACCTTGACCTTGACCTGCTCTGCATGCAGCAACATGCTGGAGACCCATTCATCCTCATCGTCTATCATCTTGTCTTGTCGAGGTCGTTTACTCGGTGGCTGGTGTGCCATCAGGATCTTCACCCTCTGTTCCACCATCTCCTCGGCCAAGATGTCCTTCTCTCGGATGCGCTCACTGTAAGTGTAAGGTCAACATTTAAAAGTTATTTTCTATATGCATTTCTGCAGTTATCTCTACTGCATCAGTAATCCATCTATCTGCCAACCTGTAGGGCTTTTCTATTTGTCTACTTTTCATCATTCAGGATCTGAACCAGATTCCTGCCTATTATTTGTCTTTATTTACCTACCTTTAGTTATTTGCCTATTTTTTCTCACAATGAGTCACCTATATGCTTACCTGTAGTATCTTCAGCTTACTTGTAGTCGTTCTATTCTGCCTACATGTAGTCATTCTCTATATTCTTACATGTAGCCATTCTCTATATTCTTACATGTAGTCATTCTCTATATTCTTACATGTAGTCATTCTCTATATTCTTACATGTAGCCATTCTCTCTGTACAACTGTCATTTTGTTTCTGCCTTCCTTCACTGATTTATCGGTTGCCATTCACTGTCTTCCTCCCTGTCGTCATTCTCCATCTGCTTACCTATAGTCATTTTCTGTATGACTACCTGAAGTCATACTCTGTATACCTACCCGGGTACCTGTAGTCATTCTCTGTATACGTACCTGTAGTCATTCTCTGTATACGTACCTGTAGTCATTCTCTGTATACGTACCTGTAGTCATTTCCTATTTGCCTATCTGTTTTCATTCTGTATTTGCCTACATGTAGTCATTCTCTATCTGCCTACCTACAGTCATTCTCTGTATATCTACCTGTAGTCATTTTCAGTATCTCAACCTGTTGTCATTCTCTGTATACCTACCTGTAGTCATTCTCTGTATACCTACCTGTAGTCATTCTCTGTATACCTACCTGTAGTCATTCTCTATCTGCGCCTACCTGTAGTCATTCTCTATCTGCCTACCTGTAATCATTCTCTATCTGCCTACCTGTAGTCATTCTCTGTATGCCTACCTGTAGTCATTCTCTATCTGCCTACATGTAGTCATTCTCTATCTGCCTACCTAAGGTCATTCTCTGTATATCTTCCCGTAGTCATTTTCAGTATCGCAACCTGTTGTCATTCTCTGTATACCACCTGTAGTCATTCTCTATCTGCCTACATGTAGTCATTCTCTATCTGCCTACCTGTAGTCATTCTCTATCTGCCTACATGTAGTCATTCTCTATCTGCCTACCTGTAGTCATTCTCTATCTGCACCAGCTGAGTCATCATCTCCTTGCACACTTCCTCACGGATCTTGGCTTCATGTCTGATCTTGTTGTTTTTCTCGTTTTGCAGGTCATGCTGCAGATGCTCTATGATGTTCAGCAGCTCCTGAAGAGGGAAGTAAATACAACGTTACTGAACCTGAACACACAAACTTCCACAGGGCACTTGGAGGCAAGAGTCTTGGTGTCACTTTGTGAGGTCAACTATCGCAAGACCATAGATACCAATACAAGTGTGATAATTAGTACCGGTAATAATAAAAAAATTGTTACAATCATAAGCATCATTGACTTTATGATTGTTCCAAAATAAACAAACGTATTAAATTGTACCATCAAACCCCTCATAATGTGGTCACGAGACCTTAAAATATGTGACAATTCCAGTGATAATTTACTTCCACCATCATCACCATGCACTACAAAAGAGGGGGAAAGAATCCCTTTTTAGACAAAAGCAACAAACACGGTTTTTTTCTATTTTTGTTTTATACTAACAAGTTCTCTACATTCACCGAAACCACAGTGACATCAATAAGTAAATCAAACTCACAAGGCATGGTTTTTTTATCATAAATTCTGAACATATTTCACTTTATCATATTGGCAGAATTTGGAGCAAAAGCATGATTCCACCATAATGCTTGTGAATTCTGCAACAAGGAAATACGGTGTGGCCCTGATTACCACGATGTCAGTGAATGCTCTCCATGGGCTCAGCGGAACACTGAACAAAACATTTTTACCTCTTAAGTTCAGTAAATTTGAATAAAAATTGTAAACACCATATGGTTATTCTGCCCTCATCTCCGTTATTGTGATGGTCCTCAGTCCCTGTCTACATCTCACATGACAAGACCGGGAGGCCGGGGTTTTCTGCACGCTGAGACGTGGTCACAGCACTTTGTGAGCAAGGATGTATCATCATCGGACACACAGGTGTATCAGAGATCAAGACAGAAATAATACCAGTATTTTACGGTTATATTTACCCATAGGAGCACAGTTATCTAATTATCAAATTCTGAAAGTTTCACAAACAGAAAATTATTTGTACTTCATTGACTATTGTCCACTTTGTGAAACGTCCCATAGCAATATTACGACAGAATTCCTTGCTATAAATACATATCCCCAGCCATTTACCGGTAGGTCGGGGGTATAATAAGAGGTATCTAATCTACAGTGAGACTACCTGCAATTTCAAAGAGAAGGTTTACCTCTGTACTGACACTTACATCGACCTGACTCATGCTGGTGTCCAGCTCCTCGTCCTCATCGTTGTCCTCCGTCACCTCCAGGGTGTTCAGTGTGCTGTACTTCATCATGGTGCCTACACAGAACAACGTAGGCCTTCATTTCCTTGGTACAGGGATTTATGATAAAGCATTGTAAACTAAGTTCCAAGGCAGGCATATTGGAAAAACATAATTTTTCTTAATATCAGAGGTTTCATAACATTGTATTTTAACGCTGTATTCAATATCATTACAAATATTGTAAAATAGAGCATTGAAGAATCTTCCACTTTCATGGTCCTATTATATGTGAAATACAACATACCTCAATGCACATTACATTAATTGATAATTAGATTAACATGAAATGTGAATTCCCACTTGGATATCTTTTGTGACATTTGATGCAGATTTGGTGCTGATTGTCCTGTTATCTGTAATGAGCTCTACTTCATCATGATGACTGTCAAAGTAGACATTTGATACCTGTAAACTGTTTGGTGTCATGTCACACTCAGCAGTATTCCAGCTGTATGACATCCACCTTATATAATCAAGTCAGTGTCTGTTGACACAACATTAACCAAGTCACCGACAACAGATAGTCACCACCCAGTCCATTAAGTCACCTTAACAACCAGCATAGGTTGCGGGGAACCAGTCTAACCCTAAATCCCTACGGTGACCCGTCAACTAGGTTACTGTTATTCTGAACAGCTCCTGCAAGACCTGTGTACCTGGTGACGCCCACGGAATGGAGGGCCTCATCCCAGCTGGCTCCTTCTTTGCATGCACTCGTTGTACCTTCGGCTTTGGCTCCGGCTTCTGTACAACTACCACCTGGAGTTAAAGTAGACACTCGGCTTAAAGGAAGCATCAACAAGATCCTTTTTGTCAATTAACATGCTTTGCAGCACTCTTATTAAAGTTTCAAATGAACAGTGAAGTTTTAAATAATGATCATCCCATTTCAATATCACCCAATCAACTGAAAAATGGTGAGACTCTTGATGTCAAGTCTGCTATGGGGAGAACCACTTTATATTTTGGGGTGGTGGTGGGATGGTTTTGTGTCTAATCTGTTCCAGAAAAGACTTATTTTGTCTCAGGGTTGAAAATGAAAAAAATTGTTTGCTGGATGTACCGAACAAAATGTGTTTGGAGTCCAAAATTAATTATTATTATTATGTGAAAATGCTTACCAGCCGACAAAATACTAAATGAACAAACAAACCTGTTTGGCAATGGCAGAAAACTTGAACACATTGAGGGTTTCATCAAACATGCTGGCACACTGGTTGACATTGACGATCATAGCAGCCTTGCCACGACCCGAGAAAAAATTCTGAAAGAGCCGTGTGAGTTTACTGTCCCGGAATGGCACCATCCGTGGATTTTCTCTGGAATGAGGAAGAACACATTGAAGAGTACCAGTTACAACGATTGCCATCCATTCTCTGTCAATTCAACATTATTCTGTTTTGTAATTTGAATCCTAAGTCAGAAGCCTGTGAGGCAAAGCAACTATCGCTAGTAATTGTTTGTACAGAAGCAGGATTCATACAGAATTTCAGTCACAAAATTCAAGGCCTTTTCAAGGCTTTCTCCCCAAAGTTCAGAGCAAGTTTACTTCAGTGTTCCCGCTGGCTTATGAAACAGACAGTCCTGGTGGACTGGCAACTCTAACAATTACCAGATGAGTCAACTTGAAAGGGAAATAAAGCTAAATGGTGACAGATTATAAGAAGATAGCATACAAATTGTCTGTAATTAACAAATAAACGACCACTAAGATTATCTGCGTACCCCAGTTACATAAAGTACATCTATGTGGACCAACTTACCTGATATATAACGTCATCAAGTTGTGAAAAAAAAACATGCTTTGTTCCTACTTGTTCTTAATTGTCATTAGCCATTTATCGCGTAGTTATCTTATATTAGTTTATAACAGTTTTTAATTTAACAGCTAAGAAAAGATAAATTAATATTTTCTCACATTGTCTGAAAAAGCCTTTAAAATGTAACAAGAATTATCAATGATATATGATGGTGGTATCTTCAGGCTTCCACAAATTGTTTTTTTCTTCCAGTCAATAGGTCCATGATCTTTCAAAGCTCAACATGTCATCAACAGTGTACATTATAATGCCTAATTCTGTGCCTGGTTGTATCAAAACAGCTGAGCAACTGTAGCTATCAATGGTTTATGCAGAAGCAGGATTCTCATGAGAGTGTCTAGGGTTTCATCCCTGCCCCCATCTGCCTGAGGCAAAGGAGTTTACTGACTTAAAAAGTCCACATTCCAACCTTGCCAAACTAGACAGATGTTATGGACTTATATTTTGGCTGGACTAACGGGTCTATGCATAGTCCAATCAAAATTGCGAAATGAAATTGACTTCCGGCTTTTAAACTGTCCGTCAACTCGGCGTCAGCAGATATTTTCCAAATCTTTTCATGTTTCTAATCAAGGTGCTCTTGTGATTTGATGCACTTCGCGATGTAAGACCAGTTTTATCACAACATAGATCAATCAGACTGAGAACCTACATTTTGTTTAAAGCAAATGCAAGTGATACAAGAAGTGGAATCTGGTTGGTCAGTGGGAGAGGCAAAGAAGGGACATAACTCGTAAGAGCCACTGGTGGAGCTGCCATCGTGCCCAGAAATTCCAGCCTAGTTCAGCAAGGGTGGAAAGTGGACTTTTGCAGTCAATTAATTGCCTTCACTCGGGAAGATGCCCTGTCCCAAACTGAAACATGTTACACGTGGTGCCCCATTAGGCGAGTGACTGTTACTATGCCTCCGTTCACCCAGCAGTGAATGGGTACCCGGCAGAATGAGATGGTTACGTGACTAAACATAGCACCTCATATGGCAGCTTGATTGGTATACCTCGACTACTCCCCAAAGACTAGAGTAATAATAATGTAGTGCAATGAGCTTGAGGAGCATTTACTTGGGGAATGTAATTTGGCTCATAATTTATTTTTTAGTATATAAAATAGTGCCTACTTGTGTGTCTGGTTATATCGGAGCAGCTCGATGCATCTCCCGAGTGTCATGAGAGATGTGTTGATGTTGCCAGCCTCCTTCAGCCTGTCCCCTCCAGAATGTGTCTTGGACTGTCTCTCCGACCCCGCAAGATCACACAGAGAAAGCCTGTACAATATAAATGACAAGAATATCAGGAAACTGCAAGCAGCAACATCTAACTCATGCCATCTACCTCATGGTAAGAGTGATAATCCACAAAGAAATGGCACCTGCCCAATCTGAATGTTACTAGTCTCGGACAAACAGACATATTAATTTCAAACCCTGCTTTATAATTGATTATTTATTGTAATATTTTCATAATATTTGAAAACAATGATAATCAGTTAACACCTGAATAGTACTGCAAAAGGGCATTGATCATGATTGAGTTATGCAACTTTTCTGTGCTACACAAAGAAGATTTGTCCAACTCACATGCTGACTCGTGCAACGTGAGGCTTTTTGGTGTCCGCAACCCGCAGAATCTTGATGTTAAAAATACAATGACTGAAACGAATAATCACAGTGTCAGAAACAAGAACATGCACATAACCAGCGTTAATTTCAAAACATAAATATACATGAAAGATTATTAGAATCCTGCCCACCCCAATCAGAGCATGTCCTCGGTATGTCACACTGATGCTGGAAATCAACATGGATTTCATTCAAGATTAGTTATATCATGTATCATCTGTTTGGTCAAACTAATCACTTCAATTGTGTGTAGTGTTAACATGTTTTTAACATACCGGTATTACAGGTCAAAGTAACTTCATCGAGGTTGGTGGGGATGCAAATTTGCAGTGGCCCACGAACTGAGTCAGTTTGCATAAAATGCGTTAAATATATGATAGTTATCATTGGTTAAATAACTAGAACAATATGAATTGTGAAATGATTGATTCCAATTTGGGAAATTTTACGGACATTGGGTGCAGACATTTATCGGCCTCTTAGTGCTAAACTGTCATGTCATTTCTAAAGTATAGGAGGTAAAAAACATCATTTGTGAAACAGGTCCATAGGTCTAGATAAATCCCCATGTTTGGATTAACCTATTAGATAATACAAGTGGTGAGGTGACATGGGGATCAACGCTGTGGTCAAGATTATTACAATCACAGAGTGACTTGCATACCCCAGACATTATACTGACTGACCCAACCACTCCTTGTTTTATTTCCTTGAGTCTGAGTGCCAGATGGGTAACAAGTACCAAGGTCCATGTCTGAATGTCTTTTACTATGCCTCGGCCAGAGTATCAACCACTGACTCTCCGCTCTCCTGGCAGACACTCTATAACCTAAACCATGGAGGCGGTCAGCAGGTGGTGAAACTATCTGAAACTGGTTGACCTTAAAAGGAATCAAGATGAGAATGTAAAAGGACTCAAGGTGAGAATGTTACCTTCTTGATGAATTATGATTAAGTTTGGTGCATGCTGTTCTGAGATTCTTCTGCCCAATGGTCAACAGCTTGTAGGCCTCATCAGCATTGGTCACATTGATCTCCTTCAAACCTGCAACAACCAGCTGGCATTTAGACACAGCAGATGGCACACCTAGCTTGTCACCGCAGAAGGGTCAATGGGAAACAGCTGACATCACAAAATAATAACAAGACTAATCGAAAACATTCTTAACATTCAGCCATAATGGCATTTTCAATTTAAAACATCAGTCATCTGTAATCTGCATTTCTGGAGATATTGATGTTTTCCACACTTTAAATAACCTTAACCATGCCAAATTCAGTGTCAATTGTGGATTTCTGATTGGTCAATCATATTCCAAGAGATCAGGATTATAGTACATCTAACAGTAGAAATAGAATGGTGTAGGTCTCAAGGAAAAAGACAGATGTATTTTTCAGTCACAGTTGGAAGAACAATTTTCTTTTTCATTCTGGCCGCATCATGTTCATGCATGTGGGAGGGGGACCTGGATGAGGATGTGATTTTTTACAGGGTTTTATGGGACACACAAATGTTGAGATTGGTGGCAGACAAAACATACAGTGTCCCAAGGGATGCACAATAATGTTCATTGTATCTACAGCACATCAAGAGCAGAAATGGATATCTGTAATTTCTTCCATCAAGCATGACCCCTGTCCACTTAATCATTGATTCAATCCAGGTTCTAAAGTAATTATCAAAACGTACAGTGCACTACACCATTTCATAACTTTTCATGATCCTCATATTGCCAGTTAGGACCCTGAAAAGTACCTGACTTACACTGAAATATATATATGTATGTACAAATATGTATATGATTTGAATTGATAAAAATGTCAACAATACCTTCAAGCCAAAGACAAGTGAAAATCTGGAGGGACTTTTCTTTCGCTTAATCTAGATATTTTACGTAACAACTTATCCTGCATTACTCCTCAATGCATTTACTAAAATGAGTGAGTGAGTGAGTATGGTTTTACGCCGCTTTTAGCAATATTCCAGCAATATCACGGCGGGGGACACCAGAAATGGGCTTCACACATTGTACCCATGTCGGGAATCGAACCCTGGTCTTCGGCGTGACGAGCGAACGCTTTAACCACTCGGCTACCCGACCGCCCTGACTAAAATGAGCAGAGGAACAGTAGGATATGACCAATGGCGTCTACTTCTGAGGGTCCTCACTGGTCGGCAGCTCAAAAAAAGGATTTTACAGCTCTTATGTCTACACTGCCAGAATCATCCCTTACCTTTAATGTAAGGACTTCCATTTCCATCCTCACTCAGTTTTAGAACCTGTCGTCTTGCATTTTTCTTCTTGGGAATTTGTTCCAGCAGATCAAAGATCTGTTCATTGTAGATCTCAGCAAAACTGACCCACACCAGGAACTTGATCTGCCCCTGATCTTCCACGTTGATGGCTGCCTCTTCCCTCACACGGTTCTCCAGCTCCGCAAACAGGTCACCATCTACAGAGTCTGTGAAAAAGAGGGACAGAATGACATATTTCATCAATAATTCCAGGTTCAGGAATGTAGTGAGATGGAATGAAGCTGAAGGAATTCAGGTCTACATGAAGTATGAGGATGTATAAGAAAAGTTTCCCATTTCTGGTAGAAAACGATGCTTTATGACAAAACAATATGATTATGATGACTCTTTATCCACGTTTACAAACATGTTTTATTTCAACCAGAATAAAACCTCTGTAATGTAATGTGTAGAAATTATGAACATAAAATTGTGGAACATAAGAGGCTTATAAGATCTGAGGCCCACCTTTGTGGTGATCTGTGACTGCTGAAACATTTGAACCCTCGGAAGCGGTGGTGGTGTTGCCCTGGGAGATGTCCGAAGCATCTTCCCCAAGCAGGGTCATCACAGTGCAGTCCTGTGATAGCAAATCAGGTACACCATGGTCAAACTGAACATACAAGGCCAAAAACTGTCTGTCACCAAATGCATAGTAAACACATCTATTCCTCCCATTCAAAATTCAGAAAAATAATAAGTTTGGCATATCACAGAATAGGAATGACCCATTATGTCCTTATCAAAAGGTGATTGCTGTCACTACTCCTACTCAGAGGGTCAGGGATGCATGTAACTATGGTAACCTGTAACATTTATAACTCAGAATTGCAATAACATGTAAAGCCCCTAAAGCCTGGATCGCTGCTCGCCCTTTGGCTGCCTTTAACATCAGACATACTGACTCTTGCTCGTGCCAGAGTAGATCTATTTGAATATGCTCTTGTCTATCTATATTCAGTTCACAGATGGACTGAATTGTATGCATTGGCTACTTAACGTTTCACTGTGTTAAGATGAATAAAGATGTAAATTGATAACACTACACATGTACAATACAAGCAGGGTTTCACTTTGATAAACAAAACTTGGGGTCCAGGGGACCCTAAATACTAATTGCAAGGGTCCTCACGGGATCTATGAGGGTCCTGTGAAGGAATGAAATGGTGTTGTGCACTGTAATGTATAATTACTTTAAAAACAGAAATTTTTAATATCATGTCAATAATTTGGAATGATGAATAGTATTATGGGTCCCTTGGGATGCAATATGTATATTTGTTTACACGTTCATTCTATACATTTATGCATACTGGATGCACATTTCTGTGTTGTGTAAAACCCTGATAAGTGAGCTCACATCATCACTACACATGCGCAGCGTCTTCTCTTTGATCCGTCGTTCCTTCTCCTCTTCTTCAGGAGTGAGTTTCCTCACATCTGTGAACATCTTGGGCTTGAGGTCCATGCCCGGCCACTGTTTGCCACTGATGCTGTTGAACAGCACATCCAAGGCTCGCGGCAACAGACCAGCATCATGGGGCTTGCCTTCAAACATACACAATCACTCCAGTAAACACAGGGATCAATACCATTCTCACCAAAATCAGGTCTTTTAATCTCATACCTCTCTGCGTGAAGACCTCACAAAAAAAACCAGGGAAGACAGTCTGCGACTTTAGCCACAAGTCTGAAGCCTGAGTCTTGAAAAATTTCTTCTGGTCTTGATCACATAATACTAAGTCAAAAACATACTGAAAATAATAAATGTTTTTGGCACAGACTGCAGGTCACATCAGGTGAATCCTGAGCATACTTTGACCACCCAATCTAATGGAAGGAGGCGCAGGTTCCCGAGCCAATCATCTGTCACCTTCCCAAAACAACTCTGCTTTATTTCCCCACCATTTCTTCCCATTTGGGTGTTGATAATACGACACTCAGAAACGAAAGGTTGCATAAAGTATCCAAAGAGATTATTTACATTCTGAACTGGTCATTTTAAGTTGGTTTTCAACATACAAACATCAGATAAGCTTGTCTGAATGTTTTGCCCACTCATATCGAGGATTTACAAGCTTCGGTGCTGATTAAAAAGTCCACTGATGCAACCTCCCATGGAGGTATTGTCAGATCTTCATGCAGAGACACAGACAAGCAGCATTAGAGTAGACTACAAGACAGGACCTCATGAATTACAATTACGAAACTCGTGGCTTTTAACTTAAGTATACAAAATATGTTTTATATATTCATTATTCTGCAATGATGACCTGTCATGTCCCTCATGTAAAAAGGGCAGCCTACAAGGAAACCCATGATAACTCAGTGTTCAATATGAAGCATATCTGCAGAGGAGTCCTTTATTTCTAATACAGAACTCATTCACATCATCTTCATAAACATGTCCCACCTTGTATTGTGTATGTCTTGCCAGAGCTGGTGACACCATAGGTAAAAACAAGGCAGTTCTGGCCATCAATGAAGTCTCTTGCCAGACCAAGCATTGTCTCATCAAAGAATTCCTTCTGGGTCGTATCCTGACTGAAGATCTTGGAAAAGGTGAACTTGTAATTGGTCTTCCCCAACCCGTGTGTATAGTTCTTGAAGGTGTGGGAATCTTTGGGTGCATGTGCTACCACAGACTGGTCAGTTTCCAACTTCAAACATTTCTGAAATACAGACAAGATAGACTCCATCAGCATCAGGCCAATTTCTCAACTTTTAAAATCTGCAGGGGCAGATCCCATCATGCCTATTTGTCACTCATCATGCTCATTTAGTGAGTGAGTGGGTTGTCAGCAATATTCCAGCACTATCAAGACAGGGGACACCTGAAATTGGCTTCATGCATTGTACCAATGTTGGGAATCGAACCTGGGTCTTTGGCGTGACTAGAAAACGCTTTAGCCACAAGGCTTCTGCACCCAAGTTTGCTTCTATAGCAGTCTCGTTAATCCAACACTTGTTAATCTGACAATCGGCTTTAACGGACTCCGACACACCTAATTTGCAAGGAATTACCAAAATCACTCATTAATCAGTCTCGGTCGCCTCTTTCAGCAAGCATGGGATATGTAACTATGGTAACTCACCTGGTCCTCGTCTTTGTCTTTTTCTTCCACTGAGAATGGACGGACTCGCAGGTACACTTTCATGTGGTCTGACGCAGAGTCTGCAGGCACAGTCTGACTTTTTGAAAAAGTATCCAACAGGTTCTTTTTGGCATCTTCAAATATCACATCCGATTCTTTTGTGTCCTCAACATTTTCTGGTGGACCCATGATCTCCGAAAACAACCTCTTCTTCCCCGCCATCTTGGTGCCTTTATAACATTGTATTTGTTTTACTTGTTACTTCACATACTTTTGTGATGGACATTTGGATAATCCAGGATTTAATTAAAAGAAGAATCATTATGTGCCATAATTAAAGCCAGAAGAATAAAAGAATTGAACATACAAGTACAACACAGAAAATAGTGTCCTGTATATATCTTGGTTAACACTTAGCATGCTTACAATGTTTTGATTTCAACTTGACATTATTTTGTTCAGTTTGTTCAAAGTCAAATCAAAATAAACACTGAATGAATCCATCTGCAGGCATTTACTGTTTACTTCATTCATTATCATTTTCAGTGAGACTGGTAAAGATTTCATTTCAGAGCAAGTGAGTTTTCAAAATGTCTGACTGCAACTTGTCATCATGGTCATCCTTATCATCTATATTTTAAATTTGTCGCCCCCCCTGACTTTGATCATTAGTCATGCTGAATCAGGACTAATAAGGCTTAGTAGTCTGCTATCTTGAGCAAATTACCCTTGTAAATATACTGTACATTGTCCAATAATCATGTTCATACAACACTAGCAATTGTTAGCAATATCCGTCATTTGTCAGCATGAAAGTGTTCAAGTAACCAAATCATCGGATTGAGAATCTAATGTGATGAACATGATGAAACTTCTCAGATAAATCATGAAGACTGACATCACTCCGAAGACATAACATCGAAACATTGAAAGTCTGCAGCTAACAACTGTAAGCATCAGCATGAGAGATTCTGTATCATCCTATAGACACTGTGAGATTACATATTGTTAACATTAAACCTAAAACTAGTATGAGAGAGAGTGAGTAAGCATGAACATGCTCACTTGTAAAGTGTAAGACTTACATTGTCTTGAGGAAATGTACAACCTTGAAAGGTTTGTAGTGCTGTTCAACCAGCATGAATCATGATGAATAGGAAAAGTAATTCTACACTGATAAAATTTGTTCATGTTTCTTTTGCAAATAAGATTCAAGGTCTCGAAATCCCCAAACAAATTGAAATAATAAGGTTTACCCTCAAAGTAACATGTACATGATGAAGTCATTGTCGTCTACCATTTTCAACTAAAGTGCAAAAACATTTTTAAAACTAGCCATACATCATGTACATCAAACAAATGTGCCAGTGCATATAACATGTATAATCCATATATCTCAATTTTAACAGTTTTCAAGAAGTTTCTGAAGCTTAGCTGATGTGGCAAAACGTCCAAGGATGGAAATTAACACTAGCCTGCACCAATGCTGTTAATGTTAAAGGTATCCTAAGGGCCCGCACTAGAAACTGGCACTAGTCCTATAGTCATGCCAAACTGCCCAATGATTAAGGTATCATAAGGACTAGAAGAAATTTGCCCTATTTAAGGATTTTGCTATGTTATTATAAGACTAGTGGATGTTATTATAAGGACTAGTGGACAAAAACTGTTTGTTTCTAGTTGAATCTCAAACATTTTGGAATATTGCTATGGTATCACGATAGCTGTTGTTCTTGGTTAATGTGCATACCTGATGCCTCTGATGACATGGAGGAGAAGCTGTTTCAACTTAGAAAGGGTTGTATAATTGATATCAACATGTGCAATGCTTTCAAACTTCCTGTAATCCAAACAAACTTGTTGTTTAAGACTGTGTCCTTTATCATCAGTTGTTACTAATACTTTGTTGTTGTTAATCTTTGTGTATGTGTAATCTTAGCTAAATACTTGATATAACCATGTCCTAGGAAGATCGCTTGACTGATAAATGTACAAGGCCTAACTAGCTCCTGCACCAAAACGTTGCATTGAAAGAAAATAGAAATGAAATCCACAAGTCATCCCTGTCTTCATTAAAGAATGATTTAATAAATAGGGTGACACTGCGTGGGTGGTTTCATAATTTTATAATTCATGAAACCTTTGTATAATATTTTCTTTCATAATGTCTATAAATAAATACATTCAGACATTTGCTGTGCACACTGAATTAGGATGAGTGCTGTCAGCAGCAGCATCGTCAGTGTTTTCACTTGAGGAATTACAACAAAGGGAAAACTCGTCCTTTTCATGCACACAGATATAACTCGCAATACAAAATTTAAAAAATCATTATAGTCGGGGTTGTTGTTAGCATTATCGTTCCACATTCCAAAAGTAAATTCGAGGAAAACAATCAAATCGCCGTCCATCGAATCATACACGTCACCTGAATATACACCCACAAAGACAATCTCGATCGACTGTTAACAAATAGACTCAGAAAGAGCTTATTCATCTACAATATATCGGTTGTTTTGTTTATTGGATCAAAACGTCTCAGTACACTTACCTTTTTTCAGAAATCCGACAGTCAAACTTGGGAAAACATCTTGCTCGGATCAGACACCAACTTCGCGCTTAGGCTTTTGAAATGGACCAATCACAGGATCAAAATATTGCAAGGGAGGTAACTCTCAAAAAGCGCTCTTGAAGATAGCCGCTAAGTGCAACATAGGTATTATATTATCTTCTCGATCACGCATTCAACGTCAGCTTCAATGAAACAACTTAGGTTTGATGGGAATTCAAGTATCGCTATTGAGAATGAACGAAACATCGCAAAATACCGATACGTCCTTTAATCATAACATGGAGACACAATTTCATAATCAGCATATAATGTGTTTCAATTATCAATGTATATATGCCTTTGCCCTTTAACTGAATTAAATTCTACTAGCAGTGTTGTACATAACTATACCATGATTGAGTGCGTACTTTTGGTAAATGTTGTAAACAGTATTAATATTGTGTGATTTGTTATAGAACCGAGACAAAGACACTGAATCAGTACATGATATCTCAGTTGAAAACCCAATGAGAAATATTACGATTGGATCCGGGGTGGAGTTCAACTTGTTTCTTGAAGTTTGTTTCAGTGACAACAGGAAATATGTGACGATTGCAAGAAAGGTGTGAGGGTGGGGCTATTTGTTTCTTTTCTTACTTCGCTCCTTATTTTCCCCCGAAAATGGGAATCGCCAAATCATTCCTCCATTTTATGGAAAAGATTATGAAACATGAGGCTCTTTGTCGTCATTTTATTACCATTTCGTCTTTTACAAACGAAGGAATACAACTTTTCGCACAATCACCGTCCACTTACACAGCTTTAGTTTTTGTGGTAATTGGCAGATCTAGCAAGCTCCAGTCACTTAAATCTACGGTGTCTGCTAACATTATTTATTACATACATGGAGATCGATCAAGCTGTTATTTATTACAACTAACACACCGAGAAAGTCACAACCGTCATTTATACTTAATGTGTCTGCTAATTAATTATTTGTGACATACATAGAGATCGATCTGGCAGTTAATTTTTTAAACAAACACACCGTGACAGTCACACTGTCTCAATTTTGGACAAAGCACTAATTCATAGTCAAGATTGACGCAGCAAACCGGAGCTAATTATATCCGTTTTACATGCATAGATCTTCTTTCATAGGTGAAGCCCGATGCTCGATGTTGGATGTTAATCAATATAATGCCGACCGTGACTTTGGCACAGCAGTTCCCCAGGGTATATAAGATAGGCTTTGCTCTCTTTGTAAAAATAAAATTGGTGATGAATTCCATTTTATACTAGAATGCCATGAATTGGATCATTTAAGAAATACGTATCTCCCATTATATTATTGTAAATATCCAAATACTGAAAAATGTGTTTCTCTTATGACTTGTTCCTATAAACCTCTCTTCTAACGACTAGCCCAGTATGTAAACTATGGACTGCGTATGCTCCACTAACTATTGTCTCATTTCTTTGTATATATGTCTCTCTTGTCAACTTCTTTATGTCACCTAGGTGATTCATAAGAATAAACATCTTCTTCTTCTTTTTCTGCTTCTGTACGGAAGTACATTTGTGGTTCACATACAACTGAAAATAAGCTAAGCGCCGTTTACTATATAGTTCTGTATTAAATAGACATTTTATAAATTTAATAAATATTGTATCCTGTATTAATTTTCTGACACATTGAAATACAGAATCAGAAACCCACTGTCTGACATTTTTTGGTAAATGTTCCATGGCTATAGTAATTGATCGGGACTTTGGCACAGCAAAGTGTTTCCTTACATCATAGGGAGGAACGGATGGCACATTCGTTTAAGGCGCCGCATTTCGCTGTTCAGAGTTGCGTCCCTTGGGCACGCCAGAAACCTATGGTCGTGGGTTCGAGTCCTGGTTCGCACCGATTATGTTTCTAGGTTTCTCAGCACCAATATCCGTGCTCATGGGTTTCACCAAAGTGGTAAACGTCTAAGACCTGCATCACTTCGGGCTTTCATCCCACATTAGGCTGACACGCCGTGACATAACTGGAATAGTGTTGAAAGCGGCGTTAAACAAAATTCAGTCAGTCAGTCAGTCATTATACATCTCATACCTACTTACGAATATTCCGGGTTATAATTGGTCCCCAGCGACCAATTTTTGTAAGTACGAGGCAACTTACTGACTCGAGTGGTCATTCTTGGTGACTTGGTTAACTGCGTGGCAAAGCACAAAGTGTGGATCGTTGCTTATGATATCAATCACTGGATTGTCTGGTCCAGATTCGATTTTTTCAGTATCGCCGTATATTTCGTTAAACAACGAACTGAACACGGAAGTTCTAGATATTATAAAAGTATACAGTACAAGACCGTTATCACTATCCCCCGCCATGGGACACATGGAAATATGAGGTGTTTACCTCAATGCTATTTTTCTGATAGCATGCACAACAAACAGGATGCACAAACATTAAATCATGTAGAAAGGGGGATAACTGCGCTAAAAATATTCCAACTCAGTCTGGATAAGGATGTCCCAGATAAGCTAGCAAAGTTTCATTCATGTAGCTTTCGCAGTTTTGAGAAAACTTGTCCAGCAAAGCAGACACTATGCACCGAGTGAATTAAAATGGATCAAGGGCCTTAACTCTATAAAATATGGTTTTGCGACGCCAATTTTCTAACTCATTTAGTATGGTGACCAGTAAGATCATTTCTCAACTTATTTATTTTTGAGACAATTTGCCCCCTTTGAGAAGAGGACGGACGGGACGTGGAGGAGGATACTAAGGGTCTGTCACTTTCCACGTCCACGTGTTTCGAACAAGTACTTTCCTGTGTTAAACAGTTTGTTTTAGACAGCAGTTCAAAATCGTAGGTGCGGTGGGGTAGCCTAGAGGTTAAAGCGTTCGATCGTCAAGTCGAAAGCCTTTGTTCGATTTCCCATAAGGGAACAATGTGTTAAGCCCATTTCTGGTGTTCCCCACCATATTGCTGGAATATCGCTAAAAGCAACCTTAAACCATACAAACTTTTACTCTTATACTTGTACATTCATTCTTAAACTTATACATGCTGGTTTTAGCGCTAATATTGCTTTGTCAACTAGGCCTTGAACTGTTAATTCCCTCCTCAAAATGATCTTGAAGGCCCTAAAACTTGAATTCGATATAGGATCCTGCACGACTGCCCCATAATAAGATCACTACTGGGATCCTGTCTGCCTAAGCGCGAACCAAATGTGGTACAAGTTTACACCGCATCAGAAAGCCAGCCCTCTTTTTAAGTCATTGGGCAGTGGTGTCACGGTGGTGATGTTGAGTTGACCTGCTATAATGTCAAACATCCGGATTCATTTCCCCGCGCAAGTGAATGATTAACATTCTGATAGCTTGGCATTGCGTCTAAATGCAGCCTTTTCACAAAGAAATCTCAAAATGGAAATTAACCTTTCATAAACGTTTGTAACCTACGTGTCAATAGAAGAGGTATTATGTCCCTCCTAATTGAAAGCAGGCATATCACGGATACTCGTGATGAACTTGTACTCCGGGTGAAGCCGAATGGAGACTCGTGCCCCTCGAGAAGCATTCGTCAACACTCGCATCTTTCCGTAACCTACATTCGGCTTGTCCCGGAATAACACGAGTTGGTCACGAATGGGAAGAGTTGGTCACCAAGATTTCGGCTAACCTCGCCCCTTTCCGCAACAGACCAATTTGAGTAGTCCAATCTTTTACCCCGATACGATCCCACTGCGTGAAGGTGACAGTTTCCGATAAAAAGTTTGTATATCAATAACACTGAGCAGATACCTTGTTGGTTAGTTAGTTTTTGTTTGTTCAGCAATATTCCAGCGGTCTGTAAATAATCGAATCTGGACAAGACAATCCAGTGATTGACATCATGAACATCGATCCACGCAAGTGGGATACAATGACATGCATCAACCAAGCCTGACCACCCGCCTTTAACGACAAGCATAGTCGCTTTTTACAGCAAGCATTTGTTGCTGAAGACCTATTCTACCCCGGATCTTCACGGGTCATTCAAACAAGTCACCCGTCCTGACCACCCGAGCCATTTGGTCGCCTTCTTACGACCATCATATAGGTTGATGGGGACCAATTTTAACCGGGAATCCTCAGGTGATGAGACGATGTGAGTACTCGATCCTCATGCGTCGGCTTATAACAAGCATGGAATCATGGGGACCTGTTCTGAACCGGAATCCGACAAGGATAGGCATGGTGCGACCTCATTTCAAAATCGACCGCCTCCTTCTAATCTCGTCCGGGGTTCGATCCCCGGTAGCGTTATACCAAAAAGACGTTAAAAGATGGTACTTCTTGTTACCCTGTCTGGCGCTCGGCGCTCGGCACTAAGGGGCTAAAACATGGACTGGTCGGCTGGGAGTCAGTATACTGTGTCTGAGTGGGGTACTCATGTTAGACTGCGGCATGGTATCTCAGTGAGCTACCACTATAAAATCGGCATCAGTCCGGACTAGTACAAGCAGATTGTGCCCATTGTGTCCGAAACTAAGCTGACTAACACATAACGTCTGTTGTTTTGTTTTATATAAAAAATAATCAAAAAACATATTCTTCAAAAATACATTTATTATTTCCAGCATATTTGAGTTGATTATTTTACAGTATCCAATTATACACAACTGAACCCATCAAAAAACAATTTTTTTAAAATAAATCTGTAGATGTTACTCAATGAAGTTAAGGTGAGAGCCCACAATCCTTTTATAAAATGTTTTCCCAAAAGAAAACCGCTGGACCCCGACAAAAAGTGTTGCAAGCAAAGGCTGTATCCTTCAGTGTTCTATGTAACAGAATGGAACAACTGTACCCCGGATGATGACTGATGAGGGGGTTCATACTACACAGACAAAGGAGGCGATACATTTCCCCAGGTTACAGGTTTCCAGACCCTCGAAACATATTGATAACCTAACACTAAATATTGACATACATATCTGTAAATAAAACCAAATGGCTAATATTCTTGAGCCCATATATATATGCAAATATTGAAACATGCTTTTAGTACTTTACACAGCCACTTTAAGTCTTGATGAGTTTCAGTTTTATTTTCGATTAAACCAATAGTTTTGGTCATTAGTATTTTGTAACGTTTCTGAATTAAAATGTTGAACAGAGACGTTGTCAGAGTGGAGCAATTGGATTAAGTACGATTTGAACACAATTCCCGTCATATCATTGCCAGTTAAATGCTGAGGTTAGTCATTGAGGAGGAATAAATTCTCTATTAGAAAATTATTAATATTACTGCATGTCAGCTTAATTGAGAGGCAAGCCACCGGAGCTAATGCATATTGCTCGTGTAAAAAGACAGCTGAAGTGACAAAACTGAACTGTTTTTTAACTAGTACATGTAGCCGTATAAAAATAGGAAGCATAAAAAGTGCATTGCTGAAGTATGCTTCTGGCTGCCTCAAGATGTGGTTTTATTGCTGCAGGATGCCATACTGTGCTTGCAGCTCATCAAGCATCTCCACGGTCCCCTGCAATAAAAGACATTCTTATTAATGCCATGGCAGATTAACTATAGTAATATGACGGAATCGGGTGGTCCCTAACTTTTTGTGAGTAGTATATAAATGAAACAAGTTCTAGACGTTGTAATTTGCGACCTAGATATTGTTTCTGATCGAAGTGCAATCGTTTACAGCTAGATTTATACATGCACATTACAATTTGAGATTTCAAGCAACGAAAGTTTGGAATGACTTGAATCAAACTTGATGAAACTGCCAAAGCCCAACCTAAATCTTTGTAAAAAATATCTGCCAATAATCAGTGAAATTATTTTTTACTAAATATTTGGTAATTTTCTGAGACACTGACAGGGACACACTCTTTCCAAAACTCAAAGCCAGTTGTCAACACTTTAAAACAACATATAATCCTTAAATCAAACCCTATGCACCCCCATTTCTCATCCCATCACGATAAATAAGGCGGTTACCCCGAGAGTGAATCAAGCAGTAGCTTGAAGAGCTCGTAAAATATCCCAGTCTTTGGGTACCCACCTCTTCACAATACTCCGGGGGCGAGAAGACGGCCGGGTCCTGGATGCCAGCTGTGAGTTGAAGGAAGTTCACGGATCCGAAGAAAGAGACTACACAGAAAAGACGAAGGCTTACATGTTGTACACTTTAAACCCCCTGATTTGTGCATGTCAAGAATTTGTCCTGGCCACCCCAAAATGTCATGCAGTCCCCATCTCCACCCCCACACCCTACACCTCAACCCCACTACACATCTCATACCCAGAGCAGCAGTCATCCAATACATACTCTAATCCCACCATAAGCCGCTAAGAGCTGGAATATTTCTGGTGCGGCTTAAAGCAACATTTACTCACTATTCCCACCATACCCACCCTAATTCTACAACCACCCTGCACAACCTTACGGACAATCCCAGTTCCACCCTGCAACCACCCAATATCACGATGAATCCACCTTTAGCCCTGCGTAAATCCATTACTTCGCCCCACCTAAAACCGACTCAACCAACCCAAATTGTTTGGCAGGGCAAGGCGCTGTACAGTTGCGTCCCAGAAATCCATTATGTTAGTTCCGCCTCCCAGATTCGCCACTATAATGTTTCTAAGGCTGTTAAAAATGTTCCCTTATTCGTGGTGCATAGGTTACAACAAAGTGGTCAACGTCCCCATCAAGCTGACATCCCCGGAAAATTGAAATACTGCAGCGTTGAACAAGTCGACTCACCTCTCCTCACTGACCCCCACACGTTCTCCACCACGGGGACACACTCGTCACTGGTGACGAACACGACGGCAGACACATCAGCACCAGGCCCCTTCCTCTTCACCTTGTACGCCTTCACATTTAGCATGTTCTCACCGACCCCGTAATAGCTGGAGTGTTCATAGGCTGCCGTGTCTGTAACAAGAGTGAGTGAGTGAGAATGGTTTTACGCCGCTTTTAGCAACATTGCAGCAATATCACGGCGGGACAATCCACCCATGCGGGAATCGAAACCGGGTCTTCGGCGTGACGAGCGAACGCTGTAACCATTAGGCTACCCGACCGCCCCGTCTGTAACAAGAAGAAATGTGGCAAATAACTCCCCATGAATCAATAACTGGGCCTCGAGAGTGTTAATCAATTGCTTGGCGTTTGAAAAAAATGTTCTCGAAAATCCTGAAAAATGTTCCCTGAATAGTCTAAAACAATGCATTGTGGGTTAAAAAACCAGGTCATATATACCACACTGGGTAACCAAGGACACCAACACGCTTGAAGTGGAACCATTCTATTCACCAATCTTACAAGGAAAAGAGTTTTGATAGTTCGTGTTTCTGTGACCTCACACTTACCTGGAATACAGGCTTCCCGGAACTCTTTTCTGAGTGGGAAGGATGTGCAGGTTTCCTCTTCAGGGAGGATGAGGTGTCCTCGACCCTAGAAAAACAAATATAAGGTTACTTTTAATGTATGAGTGAGTCAGTGTTTAGCGATGTACTGAACATTATTTCAGTTACATGACGGCGTGCCAGCTTTGTGTTAGAGGAAAGCCGAAGAGATGCCAGTTTTAGTATTTACCCCTTGAATGAAACACACAGACACAGGTAAGGTGCTAGCAAACCAAGCATCACAATCAAGTCCGTAGATCCTTGCACAATAAAGGACGCGAGTCTTCATTTGTGGTGACTGGGTGACAATGCTCCAAGGTTGGGCCCACATGCACAAAGCAATCTTAGCGCTAAGACTATCGTAAGCCTATGTTAAAGTATGGGAGTTACGATCATCTTGGCGCTAAGATCGCTTTGTGCAAGTGGGCCCTGTTAGAATAGGTCTTCAGCAACCCACGCTTGTCATACGAGGCACTAACTGGGCCGGGTGGTGAGGTTCGCTGACTTGTTTTGACGCATGTCATCGTATCCCAATTTCGCACATTGATGCTCATGATGTCAATCACAGGATTGTACGATTTAGACTCGAATATTAACAGACCACCGTCATACAGCTGGTACATTGCCATGTGTGGCGTTAAAAAACAAACAAAACATCAACACCACGGACGGAAATTTCCCGCTATATATCGGCGATCTGGGACATAATCGAGTCTGCTCAAGACAAACCATTGGTGGATAGTATGATCAATGAGCGACACCGGGGCACGATAACATAAAACAATATTAATTCCGCTCATCATTTATTTTTCCAAGGAAAAATCGGTTTGAGTTCCAGTTTCGTTTCCATAATTTTGGTCCACTATAAAACGATGCTTGGTTTGGCAAAGAAAAACTCGAATGGTGTTTTTGAAATGAACAGAAAAACACCCCATGACACTCATCGTGTGATCTTCACATAACCAACGCATGCATCTCTTGTCACTAGGCAGTTTGTTAAGTTGGTATGGTTGGGTGTGAATTAAACAGTTATTCCCTTACATCAATGGAGTTATCTTCCTTGAAGTCGTAGATGGTCTTGAAAGGTCTGACCTTGTCCCGTCTGGTAAAGTTCCCAGATACAGCCACCTTCTTGTTAGTGGCGTCATACGATACTCGGTAAAGGCCCTGTAAAGGTGGAACCTGGATATTAGCAATCTCAAAGACATCAGATCTCAGTGCTCGCTACTACTACAAAAAGAGCTAATGACACCACACAAGCTCATTAAAATCCCATTGGATCCGTCAAAACGACATTTTGCGAACTTTGACCGTCTAATGAAATGACTAAGAAAGGAACCAGTCGAACAAGGTTTTTAATGCCCCGTTGAAACCTTTTCGAGGTTGCATGATTAGAAAACACAATTGGACTTTCCGGATTCCATGAGCGACGTTCTGATTGGTCGGATATGAAAGGTCGTTCTGGCGTGACCTGTAATGGGAACTCCTCAGCGAACGTGTCTGTTATTTGAAATCACGCACATGTTCGATTATTCAGCGTAATTTATCAGATAATGATAAATACCATGGATCCATTTTGCTGCCATAATTTCATTTCAAAAGTCACGCCACAACATCCATCTCTCTTATTACCAACTTTGCACAGAATTACTCGCTCATGATTGTATTTTCATCGGATGGCTATTTACCTGTCGTGTCAGTCGAATATGGACACCCTTGTGGGTTTTAATCAGTGTCGATATCAACGGCTGCACGACAAAAGGGGCATTCACGCGGTATGACTAGTTGTAGACAATACCAAGATCCTGCGGTAATGTTGTGAATCAAAAGCTTTTGTCAGTGAGTTGTATGCTACTCGAAGCCCTGTGAATGCCGAATTGCATACAACTTCAGTTCGTACAACTAATTGCATACAACTATTTGTTCCGTGTGAATGCCCCTCAACAGAACAGAACATAATTAGGCTCATAACACTGTGAGCGGTGAATATAATAACAGTGCATATATTTCTTGATACACGCAGCGGCAGACCCTAAGCAAACCCATTCATTAAAGTACGTAATGACAGATATGCATGGTTCATCCATGTCGACACGGCCTTTCGGTCCTTTATTCCCACCTGAGCAGGTGCATGTTAAACGATTTTCTAAACCGTAATTAAAATCAACTCGTTTTCCTCAATACTGAGATAACCATTTTACCATATCCGTTTGTCCACCGATTATTTGTTATATGACTAAATTTACCTACCATACGCGCCTACAGTATAGGCTATGGCAACAACGCAAAAATAATCACAACCAAAACTCGAGCTATATCTTCTATGGTTTTTACTCGGATCAATCAGCCTGTTATTTTACAAACCGTAATTGCCAAAATAATAACCTCGTGTAAAATATTACAAAAACTACAGGTTTGAATATTTCCGGAAGTAACTCTCTCAGCACTCGGTGCAGTTTACCGTATATGCTCTATGAATGTATTTTCATTTTACAAATTAAGTCATACATTCTTTACCGTAGTTACGCAAAAATAAATTAACTACGCAATTGGTCTGAAAACTCAAGTTATTTATCTTCACCGGAGTTACTCGTAGTTAATGTTGCATCCTTTAAATAATGATTCGGGCATTTACCGTACATACTCCATACATTTATTGCTTTTATTCCCAGACTTAGATTAAAACTGTATTAGGATATTATTATCATTGAATGTAATTATTGTACATGGATTAATATATTTTGAATGATATGTATTGACACTTGCTCTCCTCTTTTGTTTCAAGGCTTGCTTCCAATCGCTAATTTCGGCCTGACAGTACTTTGATCACTAAAAGCAAGGCTGGATTTAGAGGTACATGGAGGTCATAAGTTTGAAATTGCAACAAAACCATTTAAGTACCAGCACTTATTAGAAGAAATGCGGTATGTGCCCATATTGCTCATGCATGAGTGAATACTGTATATATTTATGACCTCCATGTACCTCTTAATACAGCCTTGCTCGAAGGGTTTTGTTGCAATATCACTTATGTTCACGGTCGCGCTCTGCCTCTCTCTTTTGAAATATACTGTACATAAAGAGCATACTGTCCCAAATGTGGAGGACACAAATTCAAGTATAGTAGAGCGCTTTGGGTTGGGCGGGACTAACATGTATGTATGTATTAGAGGGCACATTTTTGAGAATTTCTTGACTTTGTTGTGCTGTTTCGGTTATACATATTAAACATACTTGGACTGTTGTAATATTAGGGTGAGACATATTTGCGTGTTTCTGGAGACGTGAAAACAAAGTGGAGTTCATACCCTACGTTGTTTATTTTCAGAGATTACAGATTCCATCAAAATGTGGTATATTTTCCATCTCGATAGCAAAATGGTGTTTACCACATCTAAATGTCAACAAAGTTCGCCATTGATTGAACAGCAAAGTTTCAACAAACCTATACAGGTTGCGTCGGCATCATATACTGAAAGAACATGTCAGGTATCATGAATGTTTATGTATATCTTTATGAAATTGTTTGCCCAGTCTTCCCTTTAAAAATATCTCCAAAAATAGTCACGATCCCAAACCTTTTGTGACCAGTATAGTTCATTACAAAGAACACCCGGGGCTGCAATGAATAAACGCCCGTACTTAATCTCTGGCTACAGCTCAAACAAACATCTTGACTGACCAATCTGAAGGTCCGAAGCGACACAAAAACTGCCATTTTTCCGACAATCTCAAAACCTTTTGACATTATCAATGCGAGAAATGGTGTCAAATGAACCTTATGGAAAACGTTGCTTTAATGTAGACAACATGACGACACAGTGACATCGCTCAGCACCAAAACAGCAACACAAACTCCGCCCATTCTATTATCAGCCAATCGGGAAACAGTCGCCCTCTAGTTGGCGTGGCCTTTGTATAATTTTAGTTGTATGGAAACATAAACGCAATAACCATTGTTTGGCTAGACAATAAAATGTCATGGTATCACTTGCAATATATGAATTTTAGAATAAACTGTCTACAGTGCAACTGCCCATGATATATCGAAATTAATGTTTGATCAATTTAGGAAAGTTAAGGTAAATAGGTAGATAAAACTAATCATAAATGCAATGATGGGCCAAGTATGTCGGATATGGACACTCGTGGTAGGAAACAATCAATATTTCCGGAATGTAACATGTCATGCCTTCAGAAACATACAGAATACAAAAAACGTATAAAAGTGGGTGACTAATTCTCACGTGATCGTTAGGGGCCTGGTTAACTCTGCTCACGTGACAGTTATCTCACGAAACGAATTGCAAGTACGGCAGTCTTACCCAGAGGGCATTATTCATTAACTTTACTCAATCAGCAACGTTCAGCGTCTGTGGCAAGGAAGAAATCAATAAGGGCGTGTTTCTTCTTGGCAGCTATCTGTCTGATATCTGTCTCTATCAGAGATAGGAAATACTGGGTGGTCATTACATCTTTTGCATGCCGGACAAGTGGCATATCAAGGTAGCCCGTCGAGTACAATTTGACACAAAGATAGCCAGCCAACCTCAGAGAATCGTAAACTAATCGAATACAAATAACCAGGCGAAAGAAAGGATTTCCAAGAGAACACAGACAAGGTCAGATAATAAAGCCGATCAATTCTGATAGAATCCGACACCGTATAGATTAAAATAAAAACAATAAGTTAAAACGGGGAATTTTGTTCGTTTCAGGAAGTATCTGATCGGCGTGCGTCACGCGGCAAAGAGATATGAGAACATGTCTCAGTTGTGTTTTACTTCCTCTTTCCCACAACACAATGTGCTACGCCAAATATACAACTCAAAACAAGTTGAGGACCAGCCGATTCGTAATACGAACAAATCAGTTATCCTTAGCGTCTTTTGAGTAGTATATTTCGATTGAAAATATATTTTGTCAAAAACGAATGGATCGAGTTAATTACCTCGGCCGCTGTGTCTGAAAACAGTAACAGGACCGGTGCAAAATCAGCATAGGAAATATGGACTCTGTCCGAACGTTACAGCTGAATGAATTGTAGCTTTGTATCAGCGACCTGTTGATGTCGGATGGTAAAAGCGGTGCTGATCTCCTGCTGATTTTGCAGCGTGTTTCAATGTTCAAAATAGCTTGTTCACTGACCAGAAACTATGTATATACAATTATTGTCTCTGTACAGACAAATAAAGCAATCATGTAACTTATCCATTTTCTTATTCTCTTTCAATTTTAAAAAGCCTATTACGAAACCACTTTCATGTACCCCGTCACGTTTGCGACCACGAGCAAAACAAACATACATATCCAGTTTCAAGGCCCATGAACCAAGAAGCGAAGCCCTAAACGAGAATTGTCATGATAGAAACGTCAACCCATCTAAACCGTAACTGACAACACTGTAGGTACATGCTATAGATCAGACATGATCTAGACACATCACATGAGTACAAGACGAGCATGACAATCATTGGCAACTCACGTTTTTCTCCCCGGGGCGTCCGAATCTTCCCACGTACCCACCGGCCGCGTATTGAAAACCCTCCCATTGTTTGGGTGTACAACAAATGCTTCCAAGGGCTACAGTGGTGAAACTAGCTGCTAAAATCGCTTGTAGAATCATGGCAAATAGACAAATTCTCCAACGCCGAAATTGCCGAGGACTACAGCTGAGAAGTGGGGACAAAAGAGGATGTTGTTTCTGATCTGCGCAGTCCGACTGTTATGAAACTGGTTGTAAACACGTGACAGGCGCTAATGATCCTCCGCTGGATGTGTTCGTTTCTGTTCGATCGTCTTTCCTGTGTTCAAGGCGTACTTGACCCCGGTTGTGATATACTATGAGGGTAACGCTATTTTTCAGGGCATTATTATTTGCAGAAGCCCGAGGTCTTCCATTAACTGCCCGACGAAGGAGCGCAGTTGTAAAGACCGAGGGTTTCTGCAAATGATAATGCCCTGAAAAATAGCGTTACCGTTATTATAGCTAAAATGGATGGAATTTGTTATCAAATAGAAAGAAATAGAGGTAATCACGCGAGTGTGTCTGGGGATGGTAAATATCCTGTATTAGGAATAAACATTGTATTTAGCGAGCTAAATACATAGTGTTTATTCCAAATACAGGATATTTACCATCCCAAAACACACAAGCGTGATAACCTCTTTATCATATAATGTCATTCTTTAATTCTGTGCTTGAAAATCGCTTTCCCTCTCTCACAAACATTGCCTAAACACTACTAGACTGTTCTTTTGATAGCAATCATCTCTGTAGTTTATCCAGATTCCCGATGGTTAATTCTGTCTCGATTGCCCACTCTCCTACCCAGAGTTCCTTGCGGCCGGCAGCCAGCATAGTACGTCTGCCACAGGCCAGCGCCATGTGACGATTCGTCACATCTTTCACAGTCCATTCAAGATATTGCATATGCTTTTCATCCGTTTCATGTTTGACAAGTCTGCACATTTTCATAAACAAATGATAAAGAATGGTCACGGTTCATTAAGAAAGTATCCCTTACGCGAAAATCTACTTTTTGCGTCGTTATCCTTTGTTTACATTGTTTGTACGGCTCCACGTGCTGTCACCGAAGCCGAACGGAGAGCTAGCGATACACACTCCGTCGCAGTGGTGACTCAGCATAACTATGCTAGCTGGCTGCCGGCCGCATGGAACTCTGGGTAGGAGAGTGCTAGCGATACGGTCACTTTGATGTATAAACATATATTATCATGCAACTCACTGTCGCAGTTGTAGTAGCATATCTATTTAATTATGCAAAACAATATGCAAAGCGGCCTCAAATACTTGCATTAGTCCATTATATACTGATTTTTGAAAAAGCGCGTTTGTTTACAAACCAGAGAAAAGTCCGGTCACGTTATATGCAAATTAACCTGTGGCAGTGGTGTTATGCTGAGTCACCACTGCGACGGAGTGTGGAGTCACCACTGCGACGGAGTGTGGAGTCACCACTGCGACGGAGTGTGGAGTCACCAAAGCGACGGAGTGTGTCGATTGCCGAATGACAAGGGCGACGCCATGTTTGTTTATTAACACTGAAAGTAGTCCCTACTTGACCTTTGATATTTGCATCTCTATCCGCATATGACCCCAACGGATATCGTTTTTATCCGTTGGCTCTATCCTGCCGAGAAACCTACCCATTATATGATAAACAACAATATCGGTTTTGAAGCATAACTGCAAACAACACGAATGTCACTGACCCACGTTTACAAATATGGAAACGTCATAGAACAAACCGGATGACGTCACTATTAAACGTACGGCCACCTATCCCTATCCTATGACGTCACCTAACAACGGGCGTAATAATGGCCCGTCGTCAAGTAATGTGAGGGCATCATCAAGTTACAGTGTCCCGCTGGTTTCTGATAACATGTGGGCGGTTTAATGATAATTCTATCCATTTCAGCTATAAGGATACATATCATGAAGAGAGAAGAGGGGCGAGGGAAGTTTAATACATATATTGCTATAAGAGAAGAGAAGAAATTCAAGGCCCCGGTTATATCACGTGTTCTGAAATACGGAGACATACCATGAATAACTTCTTTGACAGACATTTAAAAGTTGGAGTATTAAGTAAGGATAAGATATTCATCTTCTATTTTAATCTCCAGACAGGCACAACGCTGGGTAATACCGGTCATATATTGGAATTAGCTTGCCATGCTGACAGCATTAACCAATCCTACGATGGGCAGCGACATTTGCTGTGTAGAGTTTCGTCCCTTAGACGTGCCAGAAACGTGCGATTGTGGGTTGGAATCCCAGACTTACCCTGATTATGTTATTCATTTGTCAGCACCACGTCGTGTCCATTGGTTTCACCATCATGGTAAACGTCTTAGACATTCATCACTTCGGGGGGCGACCGGGTAGCCTAGTGGTTAAAGCGTTCGATGGTCACGCCGAAAACCCGAGTTCGATTCCCGACATGGGTACAATGTGTGAAGCCCATTTCTGGTGTCCCCCGCCGTGATATTGCTGGCATATTGCTAAAAGCGGCGTAAAACCATACTCACTCACTCATCACTTCGGCCTTTCCGAAACGCCGTGATATAATTTAAATACGGCGTTATACCTATGTCACTCACTCGATCCGGCCAGTACCCAAGCATTCAAGCGTCAACACTGTATTGGTATAAGGGTAACGCTATTTTTCAGGGCATTATCATTTGCAGAAGCCCGAGGTCTTCCATTAACTGCCCGACGAAGGAGGGCAGTTGAAAAGACCGAGGGCTTCTGCAAATGATAATGCCCACAAAAATAGCGTTACCGTTATTATAGCTAAAATGGATGGAATTTTTTTATCAAATAAAAAGAAACAACAATATCGTGTTTGAAACATTTACTGCAAATCAACACGAATGTCACTGACCCACTTTTACAAATATGGAAACGTCATAGAACAAATCAGATGACGTCACTATTGAACGTGACGTCACCGATCCTATCCTATGACGTCACCTAACAACGGGCGTGATAATGGCCCGTCGTCAAGTAATATGAGGGCATTATCAAGTTACAGTGGCCCGCTCATTTCTGATAACATGCGGGCGGTTTAATGATAATTCTATGCATTTTAGCTATAATCATAGATAACACGTGCTACTTGGAGAGGTGTGACGTCTTCAGTGTGACGTCGCCCCTAATAAGCCAATGACACGCGAGGTCAACTTCCATCTGCAACATAAATTGCCCCGTGTGTTCCCCTTAAGACTTTGGTTTCACCTCAGAGCCACTGTCGGCAAGGAACAGGGAAACCATTCAGATTGCTTATCCTCGTCACACGATTTTCGTCTTCTTCTCCAACGATTTCTCAAATATTTCTTTTCTACTGCCATATTAGTTTGCAAAGGTGGTATTAGTAGCGTTTCCCTGGCAACAACCTATAAACGGTGGGAAAGTTTTATTAATGTCTGTGCTAATGACAGGTTTGTCGACAGACCTGACGGTTTGTGTGTCATGGTATAAAAGTGTTAACAAGTTTGATTCCAGATAAGGTTAGTTATGGCATTTAGAAAACAAACACGCGCTCCGGCTAAACCTAAACACCTTCCTCGATCAAGCAATGTGTTATTAAGGGATTCGTTCGATGTGTATCTTCAGCGCCCAGGTGACATATAAAATTTTCTCTCTCTCTCATGCATGTATGCACACATACATCAACGCACAGATACACACATATGCACTTACACACACAGACACATGCACACACACAGCGACAGACACACACATGAACACACGCATACAAATATACACGCCAACACACAAAATTTAATAAACTCGTTTGGCCAAGTTATATTTATCAATTAGGAATTCAAAACAGTTTAAAACATGTTTGTAAGTTGTTTAATGCCGCATCTAGCAAGCTTCAAGCTGAAGGATGGGGCGCAACGGCTGTCCACACGAAGTACATAAATTGGGTTAATAGAGGTCATGTGAAATAGATTTCACCGTCTTGTATTTCAGCTGAACGAATGCAGTCAGTCATGGGACATTATGATGTGTACTGGCATCATAAGTTGAAGCAGAATCACGAGGGGTGCATGGTTTTATACCATATGCTGGAGGCATGTACCCTGGGTGATCATGCCACAACGAACTTATCATCCCGACATGTTTTAATATGATATTGTAAAAGAAATAAAACAAATTCTTAAAAATTGATAGAAAACAGCTGTTTGGTTGAGCTGAGGTTAAATTGTGCTTTGTCACCTGACTATCATTGACTCGGAAAAAAGCGTGCGGATTTATTCTCCTTCTGAGAAATGTAATTTCCCTCCAAGGCGGGATACATCGTATTTGATCAAGATCAAGTGAACCAATCAGATCTCATCATTCTGACATGAAGGTATGATAAACAGCCTTATTAGGCATTGGGTAAGAAATAACCGAGTTAATAAAATCGTTTATGCACCAGTGCAATATATCAGTTCTCGCGCACCAGTGTATTGTTTCCGTCATCCGGACGCCATTGTTGACGTCATTCGAATCTTATTGTGATGTAAGGTCGGAATGACATCACACTAGAAATGACATCATAGCTGAACATTGTTGATGCGCGTTGCAAGCCACGAATCGCGACGAGTAAGCAATTTAACCGCTCACCCCAGATTCTGCAACAGCTTAAAGCGCTTGCGCACTCTTCAAAAAATGGCGGCGCTACTAGCGCTTGGTTGCCTTGCCCCAATGAGCAACGTAATAGAAGAGGCTCGGTGACTAGCTGATCAGTTTTTGACAATTGATGACTACTTTGAATATGGGTAGCAGACTCGGTATGCTGGGATGTTAGCTGCCTTTGCCCATTTCGCAGCTGATCCAGTCAATAATTTCTAGTTTCTAATTTCAAACTTAAATTTTAGTCAGCCGCCATTTAGGTTTGAGAACGAAGCCATACCAGCCAGCGTTTGGTGCGATTGCAAGCGGCTGTAAGTTAGCGCTCCTTTGTGAGGCGAATCGCTTGATCTATTTCATTCGGAAAATATTGTAAATATGCGGAGAAGGCCGTCGCGAGATACAACATTGCGGTTGGTATGTTGCAAATGTTATGCTAACAGTTCGGCAATTAGAGCGGGTAACACAAGGAAATGTACCTTTTGTGTTTGCAGGGTACATTGAAAATGATAGAAGGGTTCTCAGCTAATCCATGTGTGGACAAAGATAAAGGAAGCAGATTCACTCGCCATCCATGGTTGTCAAGGTC